GTACATCTGCAAGTTTACCACGTGTTTAATAAAAAGAAAGGGAAAACACATAATAAACTTTTGGAGACAAACGCATCAAAACTTAAAAAAAAATACCCCATTATTTGACTTGCAGACTATGTTTGCCTGCATACGGCAAGTAAAAAATATCTGCAAGACAGAAAAATGTATTAACGATGTTCTGTATAACTTTACATGATGACTGTATTATTAGTTGTTCTTTGTTGGTAACTGTTTTTTTTATATCGAAACAGCCGCGCAGGCAGAAGCCTAAATGCCGGAACACCGCGGCTGCTATGATGAACCCACTGTAACAGTGATCCTATAAATTTTTTTTGAGCCAAATCATTTTTATGATAGCTGATATTGCTTTTCAATGGCCAACACAGTTCTGATGATTGAGTAACATTGATTCCTCTTTCAAGCAAAACTTAAGCCACAAATCTTGCCGCACGACTTAAAACAACAGTTGATAGAAGCTGAAATAACTATGATCCAAGTACCGCACAAATTTCAAAGGAATTATACAGTTTAATCGAATATACAGGGTGAATCAAAAGGACATGGCAATATTTCTAGAGTAGAAAGCACAAATAACTAAAAGAGCCATAAACATATACCCGAAAATATTCCTCTCAAAAATATATGTTAAAAAAATTTAAGTTTCATAGAAAATAGTTTACTTTTTTCTTTTGGGTACAATACTTCCCAGTTCGAAATTATAAATTTAATACCTTGTATCTAAGGATTTTGGGACCGATATTTCTATGAACATTTCCTGTTATTTTTTCGTACTCGTACTTAATTTCCTATAAATATTGCCGCTGTTTTCTGAATTACCCGTTATAGTTAGCGAAGAAAGTTTTCTAGTAGCCATTACTATGTAATGCGGACAAGTTACATTTTTGGACTTCTTATAATAATTTATTATAAAAGAGGTTCATAAACACTACTCTGTTCCTCTATAGAATGTGTAAAGACGTATAATAGATACAATTGCTGGTACCACAAAAACTACGAACAGTTTCAAAAAAGATCCAAAATAAAAAATCATATACGTAAACTCAAAACTCAGTTTTGCCAGTAATTGTCTCCAAAGTATTTTTATCATTGTGAAAACGAATGTATTAATAAGTTTTTGTAGAGATTCTTTATTCAGTTCTGAATGACAGTCTAATTTTTTTATCGTGCAATTTTAGTTGTAGTACCCTCATGTTTTTTTTTGTTATTCGTTTGTTTGTTCTTTTACTGTCATTAGAACTGTGTCTGCAACTTCGAACCTGAAAAGAACCCTTCGTGAATTATATGCAAGACAATAAAAATATATTAAGAACATAAAAACTTTTTTATAAAGTGTTATGTGGAGAAAATGATCTCGTCATGATATAAAAACACCTTGTGACACACCATAGAAGTGTTAATAGTGTGATATTATTTAATATTTTGATTTTGTTTTTATTTATACTCGGCCAGCTAAAAAATGTAACACTCGTTATTTTTTTGATCGTGATCAGTATTTTACTATGAGCAATTTTCCCAGTGACACAATTTTAATGTAGCGACAAAAAAGAAATTTTTTCGAGTGTAACAGTTTTTCGCAGATCAGTATATCTTGTTGGAACTGTTCAAATTATTTAAATTAGTGTCTGTATTTCAAATCAGATGTGTATATAGTGAATTTTTGTTTTTTTGTATTTATTGTAATATTGTTCCTGATTTTAAAGATATGTAATTCTACATCCTTTTAGTTTTACCTTTATTATTTTTTTATCTGTGAAGGTTCTAGAGTAATAATTTATTATGTAATTCATTCCAATAGCTTTTATTTTTATGTTTTCAATGCCTTTTTGAAAGAAAAACATGTAATTGTAAAATGTAAATATGTAAATATATTTTTTCAGTATTGTATTCCCTCGGCACCACTTCAAAAGTTTACGTTTATCCTAAGGACTGACACTCGGAAAAAAATATATTTTCATTTATCATTAATTATATGATTTTATATAAACCATAATAATATTTTTTCAAAATATAATTTTATCAGCGACTGAACTTTTCAAGCCGTCTTTTATTATTTACTTCTAGATACCATACCAAAAAAATGTTTGTACTAGTTAGTTAAACTTGGAAAAAATACTGTTGCAAACAGCGAGGCTGGGTAGTTTACTATGAAAATGTTCCAAAAGTAAACTTTTGAAGGTGTATTTTTTATAGTTTTTAACAAGTACTTATGTGTATTAAAACTGAGTACAATAGTGCCTTTTCTGTGCCTATTTTTTAAGTAGAATAAATCACAAATCACATTGCACTTTTTTCAAGCTATTATAATTATAATTAAAAGTATTATCTAGGTGTAGTACTCTGTATGTATATTTTGTAAAAATTATTTTGCATTTATTTTTTTGCAAAATGCGAAGCTTGTGTAATTAAAATTAAATAAATTAAAAGCTTGTCAAACTTATAAAAATAAAATTTTTCTATAATACTTTTTTCTTTTATATTTACCATTCTCCGACTCACCATACCTCAAACCACTATTGTTGATAAAAAATTTCAAAAATCCTTGCTAATACAACTTATACAATTGTTGGGTAATTTTTATGTTAATCAATAGCTATTTCAGTATTCCAAGGTCATTAACTTGGTCAAAGTCTCAAAACTTTTCATCTGTCTCGTGGGAAGATTTTTCTTTGCATCAGTGTGCCAAAATTTTCAATATTTTCCAAGTTTCTAAAATGTTCTCAATTCTCAAAACTCTCAAATTTTTCAGTTATAGAGATTTCAGAAATCATCAAAGATTTCAAATGTTCAGTTTTCAAATTCCTAAAAAAATTTTTAAATCTTGAATGATTCAAACATCTTAAAAATCCTGAAAATTTGGAAAATTCTGATAATTTTGAAGACTTTGGAAATCATCAAAGCTTTCAAATATTCGATTTTCAGAATAGAATTTTAGAATTTTTGAAAATTTTCAGAATTTTAGAACTTTTGAATAACTCAAAATGTTATTAAAAATTTGAAAACTTGTAAGTTTTGAAAGTAAAACTTTGAAAATATTGTAAATCCTGAAAGTTTTCAAAATTGCGCTGCAGTCAAAAACTTCTTAAATTGATAAAAAAACGCAGCCTCGATTCTGACATCACTTTTCAAAATTTCGAAAAATTTTATAATTCTCAAATTTTTGGAAAATTTGAAGATTTTTAAAAGTTTAGAAATTATTAAAGCTCTCAAATGTTCAATTTTCAAATTCCCAACAAAATTTTTGAATTTCAGAACTTTGAATATTTCAAAATTTTGTTAAAAATTTGAAGGTTTGTAAGCTTTGGTGATTTATGAAGCTTTGAAAATATTGAAAATTTTGAGAATCCTGCAGGTTTCTAAAACCCCTAGAATTTTAGAATTTATAAAATAAAAAAATTGAAAATATTGAAATCTTGAAAATTTTCATTTATGAAGTGTGCCAAAATTTTCAATATTTTCAAGTATTTCTAAATTTCTAAAAAATGTTCTCAATTCTCAAAACTCTAAAATTTTTTAGTTATAGAAATTTTGAAAACTTCAGAAATCATCAGAGTTCAAATGTTCAATTTTCAAATTCCCGACAAAATCTTCAAATTTTGAATGATTCAAAAATCTTAAAAATCCTGAAAATTTGGAAAATTCTGATTATTTTGAAGACTTCAGAAATCATCAAAGATTTCAAATGTTCAATTTTCAAATTCTTGACAAAATTTTTAAATTTTGATTGATTCAAAAATCTTGAAAATCCTGAAAATTTGGAAAATTCTGATTATTTTGAAGACTTTGGAAATCATCAAAGCTTTCAAATATTCGATTTTCAGAATAGAATTTTAGAATTTTTGAAAATTTTCAGAATTTTAGAATTTTTGAATAACTCAAAATGTTATTAAAAATTTGAAAACTTGTAAGTTTTGAAAGTAAAACTTTGAAAATATTGTAAATCCTGAAAGTTTTCAAAATTGCGCTGCAGTCAAAAACTTCTTAAATTGATAAAAAAACGCAGCCTCACTTTTCAAAATTTCGAAAAATTTTATAATTCTCAAAATTTTGGAAATTTTGAAGATTTTTAAAAGTTTAGAAATTATCAAAGCTCTCAAATATTCATTTTTCAAATTCCCAACAAAATTTTTGAATATCAGAACTTTTAAAACTTTTGAATATTTCAAAATTTTTTTAAAATTTTGTTAAAATTTTGAAGGTTTGTAAGCTTTGATGATTTCTAAAGCTTTGAAAATTTTTAGAATCCTGAAGGTTTCTAAAACCCCTAGAATTTTAGAATTTAGAAAATTTAAAAATAGAAAATTTTAAAAACTGGAAATTTTCAGAAATGATAATTTTGAGGATTGAAAATTTTGAGAATTGTGTATTTAATCTTGATCACATTGAGATATGTGAACATTGTGAAAACACCGCCATTTTTTAAATCTTAAAAATCGAAATTTTCAGAAATCTCTTAAAGATTTGTATTTTTATTAAATCATGAATCGCCACTCAGTCCTCAAGGGTGGACTATAAACCAAGCACTTCCGTACGCAGGACACCTCTGACGAAGAAACGAATACTCCAGTCCCTCGTGAATGACAGGTCTCTAAAGGAACTCTCATGTTCCCTTAAAATGGTAAAAGAAGCCTAGATTCTGACACTAGTTTTGAGCTCTGAGTGGGGAGCTACAAAAATCAAGAGAGCACATTAAATTATGTCCGTACCACGAAATACCAATATTTTCAGAGTAATACATGCTTCACTCTATATAGTATACTGTCCACTGTTTCGATTCATCATTTCAAAGTCTCTTCTCAAAATGGACACACGTACCATTTTCTGCGGCAGCCTCACCGTTTCCCACGTGCATTCTCTCGCTAGGCCAAGAATATACGACACAAGACTTAGCTCTTTAGGTTAGGCAAACAGTAATACAATGGAACTTTCACCGTACTTTCGAAGCTTTTCAGTGTATACGCGCACGCGTAGTGTAATAAATTATTATTAGCCTGTTCGTGAACTGGTTGTTGATCATGTCGGTATCGCTAGTGCAAAGTGCATTTATGTTTTGTATCACAGTCTGAACGTACGTTGTCAATAATTAATAGCAAAATGTAAGTATGAAAACGATGCTCTTTAAAATCCATAATTAGATTAGAATGTGATGAGCACATCAATTTTCAGGTCGCTTTCTGAAGTCCAAAAGCAGTTTTATAGAAAAAATGGATATATTCTGATAAAAAACAACGTTCATCATGATTTACTAGACGGGCTCGTGTAAGTAGGCTTTTGTACTTGATGGGTAAACAGTTGAAAGTTCGGCATTTCTGACAATCGTACATCGTTTCAGCAAAAGATTTATTGATATATGCAGTGGGAGCGTAACCGATTATTCAACAAGAATCGTCAAAAATCCGCATCTCAAACAGTTGGGTTATCAAGGCCAACTCGTTGTGAATAAGGTAAACATTTCATATTTTATTCTTCGTGACATAAAATCACTGTAATTATATATCAGAACTTTGATTCACAATTATAAAAGACGCACCGATAACAGGATCATTCGCTATCTAAACTACAACATTTTTATTATTCTAGCATTAGTTGTTGTTGTCACAATATTCGACGAGTGATCATTTGACTATTCTTGTCCGATTTTTTAGTCGGTCTGACGAAAATTCTGACAATTATAAATGTTATGCTATCAACAAATTCGAGAATATTAGAAGGAGCTTTTTCCCCGCGATTCGTCACACGCCAGATTTCTTTCTGACCACGCCTTCTATGTAGTCTGCATTTTTCTGCAATATGTTAGTGAAGTCTGGGCTATAGTTGTCATAGTTATGGCCTGATGTTGCAACAAAAATATTGCCTATCTAGGCAGCACCTGATTCAAGCGGATGTTCTTTAAATATTTCCATTTTAGTTCATAGGCGGATGAGAATACTGTTGAAGATAGGCGTTTATCACTCCAGGAACTGATTTGTTAATATATATATATATATATACGAGGGATGTCTTTTAAGTTGTGCATATAGAAACATAGTAGGCCGCGCGCATCGAACGTCAGTACTGAATCTTAACCTCACTCTTTAGTAAACTTAAATTCAAAGTTTCACAACAGTACGTGCAGTGTTCTCACTACAGTGAATGTTTAAGTGTCACCAAGTCATTAGAAAAATGGAACTCGACCGAGAACATTTTCGCGCCATAATTTATTACAACTTTCAGAGACAATTATCGCAACAAGAATGCCTTGCATATTGCCATAATTCCTCTTAATGAGCAAAGAACTGTTGTTTTATTTCCATATGCAAAACCTAAAAGACATCCCTCGTATATATATATATACTTCGAAGTTGAGTCATTTATTTTAACAGTGAGTAGATCTGATTAAAAGAAATGTTTTTTTCCTTTACCATTTTTCTGGTAAAATTAAAGTAACAAAGTTATAGCCCTTTGGAAGTTTGAGTACCGCCCTGTCTCAATAATAATATTATGTGCTCGTGTTTGGCAACAACGGATATAATCCGCCTTATCGGTTCATCGCATCGGAAACAAAAAAGCGAAAGAATTTGGAACGATGTTTTTACAATTATTTCATTCAGTTGTATACAGTCAGTGTCAGTCGGTAACGCGTGAGTGTATAGTGGTGTCTGTTGCGTGGCTCAAACGAAATAAAAAATGGCACATGTTTATGCGGATCGGTTTCCCAAGCGAGTGCAACAAACCCCTCGTGCCTTTGTTAATGTAGTACAACGGGCTCGTGAATCAGGTGACTTAAGACCTCACATGGGGGCGGCATGCCAGTGCTCCAAGACCTCACCATCAAATACAGGTCCGCACTGAAATACTTGTCGGGAGGATACTTTATAAAACAAGGTACATTTTTTTTTTATTTTTACACACATATTTTGGTTTATCTTCCTTCTACAATCATTATCTGAAAATTAATAACTCAACTTCAAAGTCACCCTGTATATATATGTATTGAATTTATCTATTTCCGAAGACGTTCAAACCTTCTATGACCCACTGGCAGATTGAAACCGGAATTGTTTCGAATTCATGGATTTTCGTTAAGAATTATTATCAAACATATGAGAAGTATAACCACTTCTTACATCCGACATCCAACGATTTCGAATTTTCGATGTCGATGCGATTTTGAAAATATCGTTCAAAAAATAACTTTTTTCAAACCCACTGTGTTCAAGCTGTTTCTTAATTAAATGTCTATGTTTAAATGGACGATTTTTAAGAAGGAAACTTTATCATATAAACGTCTTGACTTTTAGTGATATTACAAATGTTAATAAAAAATTACTTATTTTTTAAGCATTACCACCCGTATCTCAAAAGCATAAACCATAACTTATATGAAGTTTTCTTCTATTCTCTTAACCTGGACACAAAAATCGCCACCATAAATAGTCAGGGCACTGTGATTTTAACAATAAGTCTGATTTAAAAGAAAAGTTCTTATTATCAAATAAATAATAAATAAAAACCGCGAATCTTGGATCACCTATCGAATCTTGCGGTTACATAACTATGATGCTTACTACTTACCATCTCCTTTCAATCAAATAAAACCGCTTATATATACAGGGTGTGAAATGTTGGGAAATCTCGAAACTGAAGATACTACAGCCCAAAATTTGTGAATTGACCAAACTAACCCTCTTATTTCGACGCCATCATCGATGCGCTTACAAATTGATCAGTGTTGCCAGGTGCGCTATTTTTCACCAAATCTGGTTACATATTTGCAAAAAGTTTGTGTTTTATTGAATTTATCAATGGGATATTCGAAAGTCATAACTATTAGTGGTCAAACTAGATTCGCCGCTTGACTCAATTTGTTTTGTTATAGTTTCAAGATTTTCTGTTCGACGACGTCCTTTGGGAATACGCATCACTTCCGTCTGTGATAGAAGTAGTCGAAAGCATAATCGGTCCAAACATCACAGCAATGAATTCAATGTTGATCAATAAACCACCCGATTCCGATCCGGACTTTTCCATACACCCGTTACACCAGGTGAGTTTACGCTTCACAGGCCGCAAAAGCGGAGTTCAAAGATTTACTGACGTCTCGGCCACCTCAAAACGTTCAGTAAACCCTTTGGTTTGGCAGTCTACAAGGTGAAAATTAGAGGCTATTTGGAATCAAATTTTCAGGATCTCCTGTATTTTCCGTTTAGACCAGCGAATAGTATCGTGGCATCATGGACAGCCATGGAAAAAATCGATAGGAATAATGGATGTCTATATGTAGTTCCGGGATCTCATTTAGATGGGATTCTCTACGAACATGAGGTAAATTAAAATAGCTAGATGACGATTATTGATTTTTTGAATTGACATTTTTGTTTATTACGGTTTGTACGAGTATGTAAGATTCGGATAGATGATTAAAGATGCGTTTTTATTTTTTTAAGACATCCAAACATACTCTGTATGATGGCGTGCAAGGGAAAGGACACTTAGAAAAAGAACATGTAGTCATGGAAAAAGGTGACACAATATTCTTCCATCCTCTTATACTCCATGGTTCTGGACCCAATAACACAAAGGTACAACACGCAAAACGTCCTTCTGAATAATAATAATAGCGTTTATCCCACTAACTACAATTTGCTGGTAAGACAAACAAAGATTATATGTATAAATAACGTAAAAAGAAAAACATAATAAGTGACGTTATTTGGTTGGTTTTTGGGTAGTTGGGCCGTCGTAAAATACTTCTATTTGACGCTTTGCCGACACGAGTGGTTGGCATCTTCAGAAAGTGTTCACAGTTCGGAGACCCGTGAGCTACTAACGTCTCCGCGGTCTTAGCTCATATTTATGTGGCGGCTCCAGTGGTGGGGAGAGCTCTTCGGGAATCCTCGGCTCTCCCCACCGCTCGAGCTGTCACATGTAAATATGAGCTAAGGCCGCGGCAATGTTGCCAGGTCTAGCGAAATTTCACTAGATGTAGTGATTTTTGAACAAGTTTAGTGATCTGGTGAAAACTTTCGTTAAATGTATTTCTAGTGATTTTTTGAAAGGTTTGTAGGGAAAAAATGAAAAATACAATGAAAAAATATAGAAATGCATCCTTTTAAGCATAAAAATTAAAATATTTGAAAAAATTATTTTATATTAGGTATCTCTGGCTTTTCTGATTAGGTTGTATGACAACAAGATTTAAATAGTCGCAGATCACTACAGCCTACATTCATTTCTTTGCATGTTGCATAACAGCACAAAGTATTGGGGGTTGACTTGATTTTATATTGACCTGTTGCAAATTTCCATTGAGAAGTTAGTCAACGCACGTCTGTTTATATTTATGGTTTCTTTTAAGTGTCTGTTTGAATGTGAAGATGCCAACCACTCGTGTTGGTGAAGCGTCAAATAAAAATATTACACTACCCAAAAACCAAATAACATGGGATGATGAAGTGACTCTGATATCATCATTGGTCTTTTAGATAAACGTGCTTTATAATCCAATGACAATTTTTGAAAATTGTTGGTTGTGCATGGGCACATGATATAGTTGAAACGTAAATTTGTATGATCTTCAAGCTATTGTCGGAAAAAGTATGAACTGTTTATAAGCTATAGAATGTAATTAAAATACGTATAAATAACGTACATAGGTATACATCCAAAGTACTTACTTTAAGCACAGCTATCTTATCAAAAAAGTTAAGTGTGTAAACTTTTTTCTTTGCTTACATCAACGTTGCATAGATTTTATGAATTTGAATTATCAGTACTTCAATATTGTGCCAAAAATAAAGATGACACTACCACCTTTTTGTGATCTAGACTGTTGTGCGGAATGATAAACTCGGTGTTGCCACAGCGTTGTAGCCAAATTACTTGCAAATACCAGACAGTTTTACTTCACTGAAAAGTTCAAAGTGTTTTTATTCGTTGAGTAATGACAGGTATTGAAATCTCCTGCAAGTCCGGTTCTATCGCTGAATTAGGAATGTTCGACACGATCCGATATTTAGAAGTATCGATACTTTTGATTCCGATACCCGATTTTTTGGATCGATATTTATTTATATAACTCTTGATCATGCCCAGAAGTGCTAGAAACTGAGAAACATGCGAAAACAAAGTTTGTAAACGGTTTGATATCGATACAAATTTCATTAAAATCTCTGCGGGGGTTCCTGACATTACACGCTTACAAGAAGGTCAACAGACCACGACAAAGCGAGGAAATGAACGGGAATCACTTTGTGTCATTGAGATGTTTTTAAACAACAAGAAATATTTCAAATGAAGTTCGAATACTTTCGTAATTGCGATACTTTCGTCGTTTATGGAGTCAAGTGAATAGACTGTGTATTTCCCATATTCATCGATCACACGTAGTAGTAGAAGAGTTTCTGTCTGTCATGTTTCAACTTTCAAAGATCTATGCTGAAGTTCGGAAATTTTACGAAAGACGTGGGAAATATAGTCAATCTACTTTACTCCGTTTTTTTCAAACAATGCGAAAATGTCTTACAAATAGCTGCGTGTTGCTTTTCCAGGGATTCCGAAAAGCAATATCAGTTCACTACGCAGACTCAAATTGTAATTTTATTGATGTTAAAGGAACAGTTCAAGAAGATTTGATGACGAGAATTGAGGAATTAGCTGCAAAGTTTGGGGCACTCATGAACTATGCGGTAAGTATTGGACACTACTGTTATAGTATGATTAACGACCAGCTCAGAAATTTCTTCAGAAAATATCGTTGGTCCCTCGTAGAGTTGGTTCCACCCATTAGCAACCAGCGCCACCTTGTGATTTCTTTACGTACTACCCGTATTTCATTTCCTGTCAAGATATCTTCTTTACCTATCGAGATACCTCCTTTTTCTATCACGATAGTTTTAAAACTTGCGTGTACAGACGCGTCCAGCGCCATTTTTCTTTTGTTTCTGCTGAGTTACGGTGCGGGCGTTATTTCGTTAACTTCCTGATTGTGTGACATAGGACTCCCAAACGCCAGTTTATGGAGTAGTACCCTTTATTTCGTACTTTACGTTTAGTTGCTTTGGTTTGGGTGCTACTCCGTCCATTTTCTAACGGGATTTTAACCTTCAGCGTGTGAAGGCATTGCGGAGAACCACTAGCTTTGTTTTGTAGCTGTTTCGATGCCGATTTTGCTGGAAAGAAGCCACCGCTTCCCCTTGACAGAGTATCAAATATAGTGAAACTCAGAAACATCAAATTTGTGTCATATCTAAGCGAAAAAAGATATCTACGGAAATTCAACGGCATTTGGAAGGGCAAGGCATGTACTAAGAGGTGATGTCTTTGGTTTGTTTGAAAAAAAATAATTCGTCATGCTACATAACCTCAAATATTATCAAAACTCGCTATTTCTGCACTTTTAGGTTAGGACATCTCGGGAACTATAGTCAGTTGAGAGATTTGGCTTACAGATTCAGCACCGTTGCTTCAAAAAGCTTTGCGGACATATACTCTGGTTTACGGATAAAAATATTATCGGCCTGTATAATCCATATCATATTTTTTCAGGATATTTGGAAAGTGAAAAGTAGGCTAGTGAAGGGACCGCCTGGTGAATTCCAAAAATTAAGCAGCCATCTTTGATAGCTAGCCGAATAATGCAACTTATACCATGTGATACTTTAATTTTTTATCATAGGAACTCAGGAAATTAACAAATAACTTGATACAGAAAAAAGTGTTTCATTTTTTACATAAGATGCAGGTTATGTTCAGTATCTGCAAAACCCGGGACCGTTCGGTGGTTGAGCATGAATGCCTCGCCTGTTCATCCTGCAGGTGTGCTCTTCCAACCTTCTTGCAGCATCTTGTTCGTCTGTCACGTCAACTGAAGACCATAACCTTTCAGCTGTCGCGGAAGCTCGGGGCCAGACTCTAAAAACAAACAAAATCTTGGACTTGATTACTTAAACACACTGCTTTCGTCCATACAACCGCAGACAGCCAGCCACGGATAGCTGTTTCATGCTTTCAGGCAGCTCGTCAGCATGGTCTAGGCCTGGTCTGTGGAGCATCGAACCAGAAAGCATGGCAACTAGCTTATATCCGAGATCTATCGAAATACGAGCGCAAAGCGCCATCTGTTGACAGAATCGATCACTGCGAGAGTGTAAATATCTCAGTTATCACTGTAACCGCTAGAGGCTGACAATTCTGGCGGTATAGTGTAGAACTGAGATAGATGACTCTCTAGCGTTCCCCATAAAACAGTGGTATCTATATGGACAGAAAAAACATTTTCTGATCGAAGAGAATTCCTAAATCATCGACATGCTCTTGACGCTTGATGCTAACGTTTCCAAGACAATAATCAAAAATTAAAATACTCTGTTTTCTCGTGAAAGCGGTTGTCAAGACAGTCATCGATAGTTTTTAGTGACTAATATAAATTCAAGTCGTCTGCATACAATAATTTTGAACAATGCAAGTTAGATCATGTATGTTTAACAGAAAGCGTAACGGTCCCAGTGTTGAGCCTTGGGGAATCCCCATATTCAGCATATCGTCTCCTATTGAAAAGAAGAGTAGAGACATGAAGATCATCAGACAACTCAAAGAAATGCAGTTTTATTAATAGGATGCCTAAGTCTATTTTGTCAAATGACTTTTCCACGTCCACATGCGTCCTTTATTATCGCTTAGAAGAGTATTAAGTAGCAAAATGAAAGCAGAGATCTACACGACTTTCTACAATAATCCGTTTGAGCTCCGAACAACCAAATGACTCCGGCGAGATCAAACTTGTACTGAAGGCGGACCACATGTTCCACTGTCTCCTCCCCTCCAAGCCCGGCGTTTCCAGTGTTGCCATATGGAATCATCACTTAATTTACAGACCGCGTGACATGGAGAATTCTTACCGCACCTTGGCTTTGTTATTTCAAACGTGATTGTTTCTGAAAGGAAAGTTGCATCGTCATTATTTGAGGCTCGAATCCCACCTTTGTATGATGTTGTACTCGTTCACAGCCTCTGCCCACATACACGCCTCTCCGCCTAAAATCAAATCGGCCTGTTGCTTGGTACCGTTGAAGCTTGTCGGTTCGCATCGGTAGTACTTCAGCCAGTCTCCATTGCCGTAGCTGTTGACCATGTCCAAGTACCAACACGCCGATAGTACCGCCCAGTGCCCGGCATCGGTCACCTAACAAGTCAGGATACTGAGCTATTTCAATTTTCAATGCGCAAAAAATACCTACGTTAAACAGCTCTTTCTCCCAACGATTCGGGTACCAAACGTGCACAATTGTATCGTCGGAAATCTGTACGCCATTGTTAAAGACCTCCTCCCACACAACTGGTGTTGCGTTCAACTTTGCAACTATATGCAACACATTTTGGATATAATAATTTTCTAGCAGTTCGTAGTCTGTAATATTATTTTTCCTCATGAATTGCTGAATAGATGGATTACTTTTCCTAAAAAAAATAAACAGTACATTACATACCTAAACTGAAGCCAAATTCAAGATGAGATGTAAATAATAATAGTTAGCGCGTGATCTCTCGGAATAATGCGCGGGGCAGGGGCAGGGCAGGCAGAGTTGCATTCAGGCCACCGACCGTCGCGTGTATCACTGCGTGCTCGTGTTTTCGTATTCACCTTGCTTGGCGTAGCCCTGAATGCGGCCCTGTACGCCGTCCTTGCTTTTGGCAATCACGCATCCATTCTATCTTGGGTGTAAATACAATATAGTTTGAAGATTCAGTCATTATAACCTCAAAAATAGAATGTTTTCTCACAGTACGTATCAAATAATAGTCGGTTGTCAGTTACGACTGTTTATTTGTCAACTAAGAGACAAGAGGGGTTTTGAAGCGAATTTGAAGTCAAGAAAACGCAAAAATTGCCATTTTGAATGCTTAAAATTGCGATTAAAAATTATATTTCATGTTGCTAGGTGTACAGATTAGAGTTTAAACCTAAAACACCACAAAAAGTATTTGGGGCTTTCTATATAAAACTGTTTTCGGTTCGTACGTCAATAGTTCGATTGATTCTATCGATACTCCATCACTAGCTAAAGAAGAAACCTACGTATCAAATCAAAATACGACCGTCGTTCACAATGTAGACTACAGATGTCTCTGTCATAACCGATACTTGCGACATCTATTGACGATTAGTCTAACTTAGTACAGAAACCGTTATACGAGAACTTGATTTTGTTTCCTAGATGTCGCCACGACCATGTTGCACATGTAGCGACATCTCTTAGAGAATCGATAAGACTCAAAACATAACCGAGATGGAAACTGCAAAGCATCTGACAAATTCGCTTGACAGACTATAAACAACTTGAAAACGAAGATGTAAAAGGAATTTGGGTTTAAAAATAGGCGAAGGTGATATTATTTGCAGGATGATGAAGATCAACTCAAGCTCTTCGAGGCGATCTCATAGTTATTTTAAACAGTGAGGAACAATAGTAACACACATCGGTAAGTATCTACCGCCATCGAGAAGCATCGAACGTCATCTAGCAGGCGTCGGAGGCTCGCGTTCAGTTTGAAAGGCTCTGGATTGGTCGATTTACGATTGAAGGGTCATCGATGAGTCAGCAAGAAAGCAAGACGCGATAGTCCAGTCCACATGGTAATAAATTTGTAATAAGTAGTTGCAAGTGTTGCTATAAATTAGTGTGAATCGGACTTTACATATTTGAAGGAACGCTATACTCAACATTACTTATGTCTCAATCGTTTCGATATTATTAGATTTTGATAAATGTAGATTCTGAGAAGGTTAGACCTACTTACCAACAGTCAAAAGGTACTTCATCTCCACCTAAATGGATATATTTATCAGGAAATACAGATATTATTTCTTTGAACAGTTCTGTTAAAAAACTATACGTCTTCGCTTTCGTTGGATCTATCGGGCCCAATAATCCATTTTTAGTTGTACCGGAATAACATTCTGTCAATAGCTCGGGATAAGCTGCACCCCAAGACCTGGTGTGGCCTAAAATAGTAAAAATTCGCGAAACCATGAAATAATCCAACGAATAGGAAAGCAGAAAAGCACTCGTCTGTCTAGATAGTGGACCAAGCACTTGTACCAATAATTTTTTACAAGAAAACAATGTAAAAATAGCAATAAGGAGTACCAGCTATATTTTAGAAGCATACTTTATGAAATATATTTTCATACCTGGTGAATCAAACTCTGGTATAACCCTGATTCCTCTATCTCTGGCATAGTCTATGATATACTGGACATCTGATACTGGGTATATGAGGTTTTGTGTATACGCACCTTTTTCGCTTAAAAACAACGATCGGTTAAAATTTCAGAGCTTAAGCCGTACAAATAATAAGAACACTTTTTATTTATTATTAAGACAGTATCGCATTACTTAGAATAAACCTCCAACAAGGTATCTTATCTAAATTATTTTCAACTATTGAAATATATTTTCAAAAGACCAGTATTTCCGAAAACATACAAGAAATAAGGTTTTCATTTATGTTTTTGCTTGTTACCGTTTATTCTGCCTATCGTTATTTTCGGAATTATGACTAGTTTTCATCACTACGCGTTCAGTAAACACACAAAAATTGATGTCGTTCATTAAAAGTCTGAAGTTTGCTGACAAACTTTCAATGCATATATATTTTTTTAAATTTACGTAAATTTTTTTCGTTCGACATGAATATTCCTTTACTGGTGGTCTTACCTCAATTTTGGGAACCTCTTGCTGACGTAAGGAAAACTCTGATCATCGACGATGTGCCAGTGGAAAACATTCAATTTGTTATACGACATAGCATCCAGCATGGTACACAGACTTTTGACAGGGATGAAATGCCGCGAGGTATCAACAAGCAACCCTCTGTGCGAATACCTCGCAGTATCTTCTATTACCGTTACGTTGATTCTCAACTGAAAATTTTTCAGATACGATATTCGTTTGTTAGTTCGATTTATCAATTCGTTTTTTGTGGACATGTGGTGTCTTATATTGAAAAAAGTTTAAGGACAATATTTTTTTTTAAAACAGATCTCCAGAAATGCTATTGAGACACTTCCTCGGAAAATGATCAATGAGGTTTAGATCTGGTACTTGGGTCCTGGATCCTGGAACCATGAATACGAGATGGACAGGAGCTAGAACGGTCTTGAAATGAAATACTTACAGATTCTTCATCTCGCGCCAAGTATACCAGTTGTGAGAAAGTCTCTAGTCCTCTTAAAATGCCCCATACTGTGTCCGAATTCAGCCAAGCGCCTGTTTCGTTGACGACTATCCGATCTGAATGTCAGAAACAACGTATTTGCTAACTAAATTAAGTTCAATAAAACATAAATTGTAAAAGGTTGCCTCTAGTTAACCCATTACATAAAATGAGACAGAAAGAAAATTTCGTCAACGACAAGCCTAACATACCAATCTTTCTCAAAGTAAAAATACTACTTACATTGTTCTTTTTGTAAAATCTGTTCATCTTTAGGATATGAGTCGCAGCTTCCTCCAAGTGATACATTCAACTCTTTTAAATATCCCTGAAAAAGGGGGTCCCCTTTCCAAGTCTTTTCATGTCGGATTCTATTTAGTGAGTTAGCATGATTTTCTACAGTCCGATAGTCGTCTAGAATTATGCGTTGGTACCTCAAGAAGGCTTTGTCCAAGATGTCACAACCCTTGACGTCTGACTAAAAATAATATCAATGTATCATCAATCACTCATAAACCATAATATATATAATAAGTAGCCCACTTCTCGCCTATAGTTTTCTCGTAATGAAGACTTTTAAAATTTCTCGTGAATTCAATATCTTCACCATCAAAATTTGGTTGAACATTTATACATTTTTTTTTTCAATTAACATAGCTTACGTTTTACTTTTATTTAACTTGAGTTTATTGGATGCCAACCATTTCGAAGCAAGTATCAAGTCTTCATTTATATAAAAGATACCAGTCTGAATATTTTAGTCCTGCGAATTTCGCATTGCTTTACTGTGGCAGGTGAATCGTTTATGTATTGTGACGAATAGTTCTGTTAGCGCCATCTGTTGGGCGAGTCTCCTACTCGCCAGAGCTTAATGGCCGATCTCTGCTTTTACGCGAATCACGACCGCCAAGCCGCCTGGCGGCGTCAGTGAGGAACGTGACTGTGGATCGCCTTCTAGATCGACGCGAAGTGACCTCCAATATTCTAGATGTCGCTTTGTGGTTCACCCGACGTTTCTCGAAACAGCAATTGGGACTATATAACTGAGATGAAGCAGATAGTACCGAATACGGTAGAGTAGCAGAGCGGAGTGGAGTATAGTGCAGTCAATGGCGACATAAGACTATTCAGACATAAATAGTGGTGTATATAAATGTTGTATCAAGTTAAATAAATTAGTGCATTTCTTTTTGTGGAATCCAGTGTTTTAATCCACACCCAAAAGAACCCAGAAAAACGTTACAGTATAAAATAAAAAGAAGTGCTGACAGGATACTACCCTCTGGAACCCCTAACGCATTTTAAATCTTCGATGAAATAAAGTTATCCTTTTCGCAACTGCATCTTCAGACAAATAATTCTTAAACCAGTCTAAAACACTTCCGATATGCAATATGGCTTCATTTACCTAACAAAATATTCCTATCGATTGTTTAAAATTGAAAAATACTGCGAAGCCCATGGTTCTTCTCTAATTCTCCAACCAACTGGAAAGCTGTTTCTGCGGAATATTTTTGCATTAACATTCTGTTTTCTTCAATAAACTGCACCAATTGGTCATATATTTGCTGGTCTTGCTAAATAGCTGCATTTTTAGAATTCTTCATTTTGAAAACTGGTATTATTGTAGAGCATTTCAAATTTTCAGACAAAGAACTCCTCAGTGAACATTTGTTCCAATTTAATACAGGCTATCCCAATATTTGGACACAGTTTTCCAGGACGCGTTTAGCAGTGATTTCAGTACTGTTGTTCTTTTTTTTGCACAAACTTTGAAAGAGTGTATGCAACATTCAAAGTTCAGAGTATCGTTTTGTCTGAAACTGTTTAGCTTTTTCTGTCAATCTTTGTAAGATCACTTAACACGATTATTTATTTATATCATTATCTATAAATAGCAAATAAACACTCATGTGGATGTTATCAACAGAGGATATGCAATATGTTTGGTCACGACATACCGATATTTAAGGGCGGTATTTTTCAACTATTTTATCGACAGATCCACCCCCTACAATGTCCTACCTCACGACGCTTGAAATGGCAGCCATTTTTATTTTTACGTTCCGATTACGTTAGTGCATGTAAAAAAGTAAGGAAGTGTCACAGAATACTAAATTTGGTGTAGTTTGAACGATAACGTGTTGTCCCAGCGATTATTGAAGAACTTGTATTGATACTAACCGTCAAACATACTTAAAAACAGAAAAAAAACATGCAAGAAAATTGATTATTTTGTGCAGCTGTGAGAGGTAGCACCTAATGTGGGCGATAAGCAAAAAGGCCTAACGATACACCGTAGGCATACCAACCGCCCTTCCACGCTCTTCAAACCACTAATTAGCGATGGCTCGAGTACTATTAGGGATGGCAACGATACATCGATGTATCGAAAACATCGATACATCTGACGTCGAACATCGAAAGGATCATAAACATCGGTATACCCCGAGTGTGTGCTACCATCTATAAGCGAGGACTGGTAACTTTTAAATTGAAAGCCCAGAAAGCTGTTTAGTAGTACTCAATATTATCATTACAGACGTGAGATGGACTGTAGTCTTTTCTTTATTCTGTACTTCTCCAAAGGATATAATAAACTGAAAACAGCGGATTTACGCATTTAATGAATTCGGGTTCTTTTGATTATTTTATTGTATGTAGTTATAGCGTCGCTGTTTTATTGTTAATTAATCGAAATGCCACGTAGAAGTGATGAGTGGAAGTACTTTAAAAAACGCTCTTCAGCTTGTGCACAGTGTAAAGTATTTAATGATCATCAATGCGTTCTTAATTTTGACAGTCTCATATCTTGCAGTTTTCTATAATCATACTTTTTTACTGAAGTATATTGCAGTCGGTATCCTTCTTTCATCCTATCGTGAAGTTGATGTCGCCTTTTTTTATTCTTACTTAATGGTTCTGAATCGAGAAAAAAACACGCGGGGAGGATTCCACCAACGGATAAAGTGACCATTCCGCTAAAACCGCTAACAATCGATGAATTCGTTGCTGAATTGGAAGCAGAAACGTTGAAAGAGTCCAGAATCCCTACGTTATACTTTTTTCCAGAATTCTAGACTTCCTAGTCTATTTGCGTAAGCTTATCGGCTGTCGATTTTCGGTTGTATGTAAATCTCACTAATAATATCTGAATATATTAAAATGAAATTCCATGCTTTCCGTACCTTGAACTCGAATAGCTGGGCGTCCACAACATAAAACTGATCCGTCCCTTCCTGATACTTTGGCTTGGGCCAAACTTCACCGGCCGTAGCATGTACGTGAGGCCCTACGTTCTCCACGGAACCGCCTAAACTCGCTCTCAGTGATACGAATAAAAGGACGCACCTTAAAAGCACCATCGTTCACCGACACTAATGCAAGGAAGTCGCCGGTTTAGTCAGCGAGGCAGTGGCAATCAGATTATGTATAATTCATACTATGTTCGTTATAGATCAGGGGATTTACATCGTTGATGTTAGGTGATATACCATTGTGCAATGTAATTGCATAGCGAAACGACTAATTAAAAAAATGGGGCTTCGTCATGTAGGTTCACTTGTATTTCCCACTCAACGCTGCCGTCAGTTCATGAAGGATGGTTATTATAATAAAATAAGTTTTAGTTTTAGTGTTTTGGTCCCCAGATCTGCTACCACTAGACCGATTTTCAAAAACTACAAAGCTTTTTCATCCATGGCAAACCCCGATAGCACAGAACGTCTTACAGACTTCCAATTTATGCACTAATAAGACGTGGTTAAAATTTTCAGAATTCAGATTCTTAACACGGAAAAATTAGTGAAGTTATAAGAAATCTCAATCGTGAACATTTAACTAAAACTAATTTCTAACATATATTTTTTCGTTTACGCATCAACCACGATTGAAAATATACTGACATATAAATCCGAACACCCAGTTTAAATGGTTTTATTTTAATAAAATTTTGTATAAGTGAATTAAAAAAAAGCAGTATAAAAACCGGAATGTCCAACTGATAAGGCTGAAAATTTGTTCACTTGTTATTTACAGTAAGATAAATACATTCATCAACTTTTATTAAAATAAAACCATTTAAACTGGGTCTTCGGATTTATATGTCACTTAGTATATATATGACTTTTTAAGATTCATATATTTTTCAACAAATTTCATTACTTTAAACTATGCGAAAGGACAAGTAGTCGAAGTTTTCAGATATCTTTCTTTTGTCACGTGCTAAAATCACGTAACTTCCTTTTTACTATTTTGATCACTTACCAGCAATTTGAATGTCTCTTTATTAATAGTAGAGCACCGATTCCTAGGCCAAACTGTTTTTAATGATTTTATTTTGGTAAATTTCATAGCAGAAATGGGCGCAATTTATACACCATTGTATGTTTATAAATAATTAAAAAATATATAATATTTATTTATATACGTATACAAAGATACAGTTTTAAATATATTAAGAACAACAAATGAACCCTAGTTCATCGATTTCTTTGTTCTTGGAGCGTCCAACCACATTTCTTTTAAGTTGTCGATTCACTGTTTACCAGCTTTCTGACGTTTGCGAATAACCTAACCTCACTTATGCTATTTATATATACGCGAAAACGCCCATCACTGGTTGGCGGTAAAAATCGTTATTTTGGGCATTAATCTGCAATATTGCACGACTGTATTGTCGGCGACTTTCACGGCCACTAAGCTGTCTTTTTTCAAAATAGTGCACAATGACTTGCGACGAATACCCAGTTCTTGAGAACGATGTCTGGTAGACGTCTCAGGGCGCTCCACTGCACATTCACGAACTGTCTCGATATTTTCCGGAGTACGAACGGTTCGAACACCTTGGCAAGTCTTTAATTTCACCTTGTTCAAATGTCCACAACCCCTGACGATGTTGACATTAAGTCAGTTATATATTGACCACCCTGTATAATCAAGCTAACCAGAAAATGTATTCGCCATCCTTACTGGAATATCCTGTGGACTGATAAAATTTTACTGCGCTGTAGGTAAACATGGAACTTATCCAGCACCTTATCTACGATAGTTTGTTATTTAAGTGAGAAATATATATTTTTATACACTTCAGTGCATTATGTACACATTTGTTTCTTATCGATTATTGGCATTCCAAATTGAAGTGCATCTGAACTGTTACCATATACAGGGTGTGCGAAAAATAGACGGAGATATTTTAGGGGCGTGATTCCTTGTTAAGAAAGTGATAAATTTAATTCTTTTTTTATTAATATCTTATTAATATTTACTCGACATTTGGCAATATTATTTGTTGTATTAAGAGTCTAATTTAGCCCTGAATAGATTAAAATTATCAGGTCCAGTGGCATTCCCATCCAAAGAACGAGAAAAAATAGTTAAAATTGCAAATCCACTCCAAATGTTGACTATTTTAACAGGAATAAAGACATTTGCAATTGTTTCAAAGTTTTCGCCAGAGATGACGTTGTTTGTTAATATCGAATGTTTTGGGGTTCCTGTCATGACTTTCGAAGCGTACGCTTACATTTTTCTCAAGAATAACGTCATATTAGAGCAAAGTACGCTAATAATCGATAGTGTTAATCAAGAATAGTGACATAATAGTGCATTGTCACTATCTTCCTATAACATAAAAATTCGGAAAGAGTCATCCAAACTATCCGATGTTAAATAGTAAGGGTAAAATCTCAGCATTCTGGAACATTTTTTTACAAAAACTCATACAGTGAGGTAGATTAAAAGTCTTATAAAAGATCTAAGGGAAACGAAGCAACAAAAAGAGGTCCTAGAGTTATTCGATTTAGTAAAAAAAATATAATACCCTCATGCTATGAGGGATTTTACAATAATTTGTAACCAATTTTTGTATTGTACTTTTTTTTCTGTACTTACCTTTGATTTTTTAGTTCCACGTAGCCTTTAAATTGTTGTTAGTTGTGTATCATTGGTAGTAATACTAAAATAAATTTTGCCTCTTTGTTCTGTAACCACGAGTTGTCATATATTTTTTAGAAATAATTTATTTTTTTTAGGAACAATGGCACATTCGTGTAAAGTTGCGAAAAGTATTAAAATGGATATTTTTGAAAGCATAATCTTTTATTCAATGAATCTGAAAGTTCAATAAACCTTACTTAATTGATGATTTTTCTAAATCCAAACTTTATTAAAAAAATATTAAAAATGCTTCTCGTGAAAACAAGCTTTTTTGAATAATGTCACTACTCTGAAGAAACATCGATTTGTTGTTTGATTAAGCATCTAAAAATACAACTTATTTGCCTCTTGTATTTTTTTCGTATCTCACTTCGTTTTCGAGAAAAAAAGTAAAAACAGTTTTATTGCTCGTCACTGGACAAATTTGGTTTATTAATTTTTAGTAAAAAAATCACAAGTGCCTTGGGAAACAAAAATACAAAAATTAAATGGCCAAATTTCAACAGAATAAAGTAAATATTTTTTAACATAGTAATAAAACAAATTTCAAATACCCTGTATAAGAGATACCAAAGTGAATATTTTGATTAATTACAGGCTTTTTTCTATCGTTTTAGAATATTCCCCTTCCTTTCAAATGAAATATACAATTATTACTTCTTCCATATGCTTTATTTATATTCTACAGTATTTAAAAAATATTTACAAAATAAAAAATTAATCTGGACCTCATCTGCATTTCAAATTCAAAATAGCTTCCGGAATCGGTATCACTTTGAACAGTAGAGAAGTTCCTACGAAAATCTGAAAAATAAAATTGTATCACCGACGGCAGACTGTTTCGTTTGTTGTAGATTTATTTAACATTAAAGCCACAATATCGATTTTACACAGTATATCACATATTATGTATTCAAAGTCTACATATTTTTATACAAAATTTCATTTTCCATAAAATATTTTTTCAATTCCCCTTTAGACATGTTCAAACTGGCACAAATCTTGATATCATTACTTGATTTAATAAATTCGTACAATTCTTTGAAATACTGATTTGTTTTTTATATCGCTTCTACAATTTTGTTAATGAAATTCTATACTCCCTCTAATAGAATAACTGCGGTACTCATTGTTCAATTTATAAAATTGTCGGTTGTGAAATTTTTGATATTCAACCATTGTAGTTCTTTCAGCAGAAAATTTACTCTAGTATATTTATTTTTATTTAAGACGATTCTCATAGCTTTATTTTGTAGTATTTGATATTTTGAAAATACAGTTTCGTTTGCAGTGTACGAAACAGTCGAACAATATAACAAATTAGGAAGAATAATAGTGTTGTACATAATTTCTATAAAATCAACACTTGGGCTATGTGAAATCCTTATAAAGTAATTTATTTTTTTGAAGTAAATAAATAAGCTCTATTGCAGTTTCTATGCCTTTATTTGACGCAGTAAGTAACAAATCAATCGAGTATGGTTGCTATTTAATATTTTAAATTTGTTTTTAGCTCCTGACGATGACAGCACAGACTATCGAAAGCTTGAGTTGTAAGTTAAGAGTACACTTTGTATAATTTGTCGATTTCCCCAAAGTCGAGTCTTCCACTTAACTGGTTATTTTCGGCAATAACTATGAACCATATAACAACGTATCATCAGCAATATATTTGAATTTTGTAGTGTTGCAGTACTGTGACTAAGATATTCGCTTACTTTATCTCCAACGACTTCCATCGACAAAATGCTACCACCAGGTCCTTCGATGCAACCAATTTTGTTATTTTGGGTGGTAGAATAGATGTAAATGTTTCCGTTCTCACAGCTTGCAAATAGAAGTTTCTTAAACTGTCTGATGCAGCTTATCTGTTTCTTGGTTTCTGCTTTCAGCGTGTGGATTACAGTGCCTTCCTGTCAAAATCGAATTTGACACAGAAAAAATTGATATTAAAGGAAAGTACCCTTTTTCATTCGAAGTCAGATATCTCGGCGCCAAATGATCATATCAAGATTTTAAAAATAGGATATTGAAGCTGAATAAATGGGTTATCTGATCTTGACCTAGGCCTGGCGTAAAATATTTTTTTCAAGCCCGTGGAAAAAGTTTTGCAAAGAACTTCTCTTGAGCTAACTATTAGAACTGCATGAGACCCATTCCTCCTAAAAAAGTTCGGCTAAAAAACATGGAAACTAGAATCTTGAAGCTTCAAAATGCTTTGTTTAGAGTCTAGCTACGAAATATGGGCAGAAAATTTTCTTCCTTAATTTTTTTAGTAGTGTGTACGAAATATAAAAATGAAACTTACATGAAACGAAAAAACCTGCACATGGTTATCAGTCGCGCAGTAAACGTTAACGTCAACGATGATCGAAAACACGGACGCCCTAGGCGAATTATGTTGAAGAGTCCTCAGATGAAGTCCCGATATGGCATCTCGAAAACAAACTGGAGCTCCTTTGGATCCGACGAGCAACACTTTCCTCGCGCCTTCGGATATCGCCTTCAACGTTAAGATACAGTCATCGTTGAATTTTTCTTCAAACTCGATTTCGTTCTTCTGCAAACGATATACTTACTCTTTAAAATTTGGAGTTTTAAGAATTTTCATAATTTGCAATATTTTCAAAGGTCGCCCCTTTTCCAAAATTGTCGTTTTTCTTTTGTAGGTTAACGGCTTATCAAATAAATTAAATACAAACACAGAGGTACCTCAAGGATCAGTGTTAGGCCCGATTCTATTCATAGTCTATATCAACGATATATTAAACTTGAGCGTAAATTATTTTTGGGCAAACTGCGGAAGAATAAAGAAAATATGCTGTTTCAAAGTTCAATATTGCCATATTTAACGAAAAAACATTCCAAATTGATAAAAAAACACGATTTAAGCTACATAAAAAGTGTGAGCGATGAATGAAAGTTAGAGACGGGCTTTCAAGACAATGGGACAAGCAGCGTATAGAAGTCAGCCTACCTTTAAAGAGTACCTCATGAGGTACCCATTGGACGTTCCCATAAAAACATACTCCCATTTTTCATCCATACACTGAACCATGCCTTCTGTGTTCAGCGTTCTTGTCAATTTCAAACCGTGCACATCGTACATTCGGATTGTGTTATCGAACGAGGCGGCTAAGATTTCTGAGGTGGTCGCGTCTTTGACTGATATCACCGAGATTACAGGCTGTTCCGAGACCGTTATGGATTTTAGTTCGGTAGTACCGCTGAGATCGTGCATGTACAGTTTGCCACTTTCTGTGCCTGCCAGCAACATGTTTCCGTCAACCTAAGAGCAAAAGTATCACATATACAATAGGGTAACCCAGAAAAATTAATGTTCTTTTTTTTTCAGACGCATGACGTGATGATATTGGCTGAAAGTGATAACGAACGGACGTACTGAGAAATAGTGGGAAATGTAAAAGCAATGCATTTTTTGTTTTTACAAAATGATTTGCGTCAATATTTTAAATAGTTGCCCATCAAAAACTGCAAAGAAAACGTTTACATACCCTTGTCGACAGCACCTTCTCATGCAGTTCAAAGTTTACACCCCTGGTTTCTTGCACTGGCTCACCGTCTTTTTGAACAGGTGCTTCTGAAATTTCATCGGAAATTGATGTGGCAGGCGGAGGTAATGAAACATCACCGTCTTGCCTCGCTTTCTTACTGTATGAAACAAATCTAGAAAAACGAAATGTTGAATGTCAGATATACGCTGAAAAAAATGTTCAACGATTTCCTAATTTAAGTACATTGAATAATCTTATTACAATAAAATTATTTCTGGATTATACAAACCGCTCCAATTGCCCTCTCTTCTGCATCTTGTGCGCGCTGTTATCCCTAATAACAAAACTGGTGAATAAACTTTGTCTATACTGATTCAGATCGGAAATGATCTGGTCAATCCGAAACATCCTATCCACAGCTTCGGAAATATCTTTTGGTGGACTACGGAAAGTTTTTTTTAACCAACATCCAACATCTGGCAATTCCTCAAAACTATCTGTCTGCGTGGCAATACTCGCGGTACCTAGATCGGTACTGTGACCGTCTGGGTCTTTATTAATGTTTCGAGTACCGTTTTTGAGAATATCATCATTTTGTGAGGTATCTTCAAGTTCTTTCAGATCTTCAGTATCTAGAGACTCTTGTTTAATATCATTCAAAAATATCTCGTTTTCATCTTTTGTAGGCGATACGGGAACCTTCATCATTGTTTCTTCAGATGCACTGTAACATTCGTCTGGAGGCTCAGTTTTTATATTGTTGAATAGCACCTGATCTTCAGTCAAACGAGGTTCTGAAACAGATATTTTTGTTTTAGAAAGTACACACATTGGATAAAAGAACAGAGATTAAAAAATGTTTCAAAGCTTTGTGCGTGACTTGAAATGCTAATTAAAAAAAGAAAGACAAATCATGTGTGTGTATCATAATTATATATATAATTATTATTATACTATTATCATTGTAATTGCAGCTCCTGATGATGATGGCAAAGTCCATTGAAAGCTAGAGAGAATTAAAAAAGTATAAAGAGTCCTCTTTGCTTAAATTTTGTCGAAGTACCCAACAAAAGGCGGAAGCTTTAATTTTTCATATAATTATATATATATATATATATATAATTATATATAGTTATATATATATATATATATAACTAGGAAATCAATATTTCAGAAGGAATTAATTGAATTTAATGAACTAGTTCTTTTTGTAATTTAAATATCTTTAAAAGAAAATTAAAGCAACATTTCATGAGCACTGAAAATTCTTACAGATGCAAGTTTTTCTGAATATTTGTATCTTATGTAATTTTTGTAGTTTTTTAAAGAATGTAATAGTAGCAATCACGCTAAATAAATATTAAACAAACGAACAAATTTATTATTCGACCAATCAAAATCTTTCTTAAACATTAAAGGAAAAAACTTTCAATCAACATTGTACCACCACAAGACACAAAACTAAATTGAAAGTAATGCCTTCGCAAAAGTACAATTAGTTGCAAGTTTAAGCAAAAAGAGTGGTTATATCAAAAGAAGACACTTATTTTTATTTATTATAGTATGGGAGGCGACCGCAAATTTTTTGTTACATCAAGCGGACAAGTTTACTGTTCAGCATCAAAATACGTAAGATTTCACACATTTAATCAAAACATTCGGTTCTAGGATTATTACTGGTTTACAGAAAACAGCGATCTATGAAAGGGCAGTCCCTGGTTTGGCAATTCGCTCATAGATGGATCCACATTCTGCGCGATTCGCTCACAGCAAAGCGGTGTTGCCGGATTTACTAAAATGTTTAAAAAACTCTATATTTATATTGAGCTGTCCGTCTTCTCTTGGTATAATTACCCTTTGGTTTGAGTAAGGTTGTACACCTGTATCCTGTTGTTCTGTTAGATTCGATAAATCAGCAACATATTCAGGCATATATAAATGACTGGTTGAGGCCGAACCGCCAGCATTTTCTAAAAGAGTGGCTGACGATCGCTTAAAACAGTGGCCGGTATATTCTTTGGCGTTGGGCAACTTAAGAAAAGTCGCTACTTTAAACGGAATCTGTCCGAACATGTTTTTCCCGACGACCTGTTTCGAACATTTGTAATTTTTATAAAACACAAAAAATCTTCGATGATCGCAATCTGGAGGCCGTAACAATACGTATTTTCTGTACGTCTCTAAAAAGTTTCCAGAATCGTTGGCCGTTTCGCTGACGGTGAAAGCTCGTTGAATCTTGTTTTCTTTATCTCGTATCGTCACTAACAAGGCGTCGCCTAAATCCTGAATGTCGTCAGCCATGATATTCGCCAGCTCTTCTCGCCGGCATGGTCCGCAGACGCCGAAAATTAGCGCCACCTACAAGAGAAATCAATCTGTATACAGGGAAGTTAGAAAGTGCAACAGCAATATCTCCAGAGTAGAAATCTGATAAAAAACAGTACAGAAAATCAAGGAACGCGTGTGTAGCAGTTCTCAGGAAGGAAAAGAAACTATACTGTGATAATAAGACCGATAGCAATAAAGAATAAATAGAAAGTATGAATTATCTAAAATGCTTATTACACGTACATCATAATTCATCAATGAATCAATTTAGGACAATAAACATCATAAATCTAAGAAAAGCTATCTCAAAATTGGAATCTAAAGAAAACGTAGTGAAAACCTATCAAAAAAGTTCATATAAATAGGGAAAATTACTCGCGACTGATCAAGGACAAAACAAAACTTGGGATTCTTAATCTAAGCTTCACAACTCCAGTGCATCTCAAAGCAGAATCTTTTTAGACATATTATACCACAAACAGTTAAACTTCTTCCCAAACAAAACATGGTTTAACAGAAATTTCTTATAAGAGATAATCCATAAAAAATTAAATACCAAATGCAATAAATGCTTGTAATAAGTCAGTGACATATTAAATATTTTCTTTCTTCGGTAACTGTTAAAATATTTCGGTTACGCCACTGGTGTAGTTGTGCCAGGGTACGTATTTATGGCAGTAGTGATGGGTTTGAAAACATCGATATCGAATATTCGCTCAACTGTTTCTGGCTATCACAATACATCATCAGTGAGATCCATGGCTAGTAGTTATTGATTATATTGCATATAATGTGCAAAATTTTAGGTAAATTATTAGTAGACAGCTGTATCCGCCCCGAATCTAATCAGTATTTATTTCGGAATTATAACCTCAAAACTGCCGATGCTTGTAAGAATATTTTGTGCTACTTTTGAACATACTTTCTACCCTAGGAATAATGCCGCTATTTTTTTTTAATTATCGTTTGTACTGAATTTTGTAATTTATAACTTACCTTTATCATTAAATACAGATCGTCGGGAGCTTCTTTTATGAACCTATTAATATCCTCTCTGTTCAATACCCTACTCTTCGTCGGTTTGTATCCATCATTTTTGTCTTTCAAATATTTGACCAACTTTGAATATTTACCGATATCGATGTTATGATTCAACAGTATCGTAGCCTTCAACATTGAGAAATATGCCCACAACGAGGACGGTTTACGTTTTTCGGCTTTCTCTTCAAAAAACGCAAGGAACACGTCTTCTTCGTATTCTTTCACACTTTTAAAATCGCACCACTTCACGAATTCGTAGTAGATATTAAGATATAATTTTTTCGATTTCGTAGGCAACTGTTGCCATTTCGCGTCCGCCACCGCTTTCGTACTTTCGGAAGACGCGCCCGCTACATTTTCGTCAGCACTGTCACCAGAAATATCCATATTTTCTTCCATGATCGCTCGATTCTTCAACAACAAGGGGCACACAACACAATATGGCGAGCACGGCAACAGCTGATCGCATTTTATTTGTTGCTAGCAACGGCGGAATAGGGCGTAAAGTAGGCGTTTATAGCCCGCGGCGCCGGCGCGAAATTATAGGCCAGGGCGCATAGCGACGAGACCTCGCCGACGGCAGAGATGCATATAGCCCAGGAACATTAGGTTTCAATCAAGGAGTAAAAGATGATACGATCCAAACTCGCACGTACTTTTAATTGACGTTACATATAACTTGACCAAAAGTCTCATATGTTGTATTATTTTGGGTTATATCGAATCGTTTCAGACGAGAATACTCTTGGTTTGCGAAAAAATTGTTAAGTCTCGTTTTGTTGATGCAAGGGGGTATTTAAATCATGGAGCATAAAATAGGTACACCAATTTTTGTGGGATACAATGGAAAGTGTTGACAGGAACGAAAAAACTCTTCAAATAAGATTTTCAGGTATTTATGAGAATGAGACCACACGTAAGAAGGTCCGATTAATAGTAAAAAAGTTATGGCCGATTACCTAGGTAAGATGCGAGTTTTCGCACTTGTTGGTAATGCGACGATAGTTTCACGCATATACTTGAAATTCTTCAAATTCGTAGGCTCCAAATCTAAATAATGACAACTAAATTGGAGTCGATTGGTCAAGCAGTTTATGAGAATTTCTAATTGGTTTTTATACATCTGATCATGTTTTTTAACTCCTTGTTTTAATATTCCTATGTTCCATTTTTGATTTTTTCTTTTTTAAATGGTTGATATTTCTTGAACAATATTAATTTGTACATATACTAAGTGACATATAAATCCGAACACCCAGTTTAAATGGTTTTATTTTAATAAAAGTTGGCGAATGTATTTATCTTACTGTAAATAACAAGTGAAAAAATGTTCAGCCTTATCAGTTGGACATTCCGGTTTTTATACTGCTTTTTTTTTAATTCACTAACGCTCTAAAAATGAATATTCAGCCGCAGTAAAGAATCAACGTTGGCGGATTTTGGTTCTTGACATCCTTTACGATCGGTCTCGATGCCTAGAGTACGGAGACCTGTACGATTTCGTCAACTTAGTGAGTTTGATAGGGGCCGTATAGTGGGACTTCGGGAAGCTGGACTTTCTTTTCGGGCAATTGCAGTTAGAGTGCAAAGAAGTGTAGACACTGTGGTTAGGTGTTGTCAGGCATGGCTTCGAGAAGGCCGTACGCAAAGAGCAAGGGGCACTGGACGCCGCCGTAGAACAACAGACCGTGAAGATCGCCGCCTAAGATTATTGGCCTTAAGGGACCGTTTCTCCACTACCAGGTCCATTGCAAATGAATGGTTTGCAGTACACGGAAGACCTATTGGCATGCGAAGTGTTTACCGACGAATGAGAAGTTTTGGCTTGTTTTCGTACCGGTCACACTGGGTCCTCCCTTTAACTCGAGAACACCGACGTAATCGCCTTGAGTGGTGCAGACAACGGTCACTCTGGGATCAGGAATGGAACAGTATTGTCTTTAGTGACGAGTCTAGATTTTGTTTAGGCATGCACGATGGTCGTGCCAGGGTTAGAAGGCGACGTGGTGAAACGAGGAATCCACAGTTTTTTGTTGAAAGACATGTTCATCACACTGTTGGAGTTATGGTTTGGGGTGCTATAGCTTATGGTTCCAGGTCACCTTTAATCTTCATCAGAGGTAACATGAACGCGCATCGTTATATCCACGAAGTTCTAGAACCCCATCTTTTACCCTATCTTGACACCCTGGCAGATCCAACTTTCCAACCAGATAATGCCCGACCACATGTTGCAAGAGTCACAATAGACTTCTTTCAACATAATGATGTCACATTGTTACCATGGCCACCAAGATCTCCCGACTTATCCCCAATTGAGCACGTGTGGGATATGATGGGTAGGAGATTGCTCAATTTGCAACGTCCTCCTCAGACTCTAGAAGCACTTCGAGAGGAGTTGGTGGTTGCCTGGAATGAGATACCACAGGAGGACATTGACCACCTGATCAGAAGCATGCGTAGGCGCGTTGGAGAATGCGTAGCACATCAGGGTGCATCCACACATTATTAAAGGGCAAAGGGCTTTAAAGCAGTGCCATCATTTTGAAATTTTTATCATTTACTTATTATGCTTCATTAAGTACTTATACAAAATTTTATTAAAATAATACCATTTAAACTGGGTGTTCGGATTTATATGTCACTTAGTATATGTTTATTGCCATTGCTTTCCTGCAGTTTTTTATGTTATGGTTGGTTTATATTTTTGTATGAGCTTTTTCATTCAATGCCTAATTTACATTTCGCTGACCCTGAAAATGTCGAAATATTGGAAACTTGAAGAAGAATCCAAAGAAATTAAATGTGCAATCCAGAAACTCAATCATAATGAATTTTTTGTTACAAAATGTATTTAAAAATTTGGTACCACTTACCAGGAAATATCATTCTTTCAGCAGACTGTTCGGGATCCACCTTATCAGTATTTTCTGCAGTACTGAAATTACTATGGAATGATTTGTCTTTACTAGATTTCTCTGTACTTATATCCTCACAAGTATGCTGCTCAGATTCCATATCACTAGCAGTATCCAGAAAATATACATTTTCAGCAGTATTTTCTGAGACACCCAGGTTTTCGCCTGTTTTATCAAATATTTCAGAAAATATTTTTCCGCGAGGTGGTTCAGATCCTATTTCTAATGGTGTGTCAAATGTTAAACTGAGCTGCTCTATGAATTCTCTAGGCAGATCTTCCAGTTTGATACCAATGTCAGGAATGATTGAATTTATAAAATCAGTCTCGGCAATTTTCGGATCTGAGCACATCATTCTAAGCGCTCTGGATATCTCGAGCCGTTGATGTGTTGCTATACGATTTACCACAGGATCATATCCTGATTCTTTCGAGTTGATTAAATTTTTCTTTTTGCCATCTTTCAGTTTGCCAATATGATTGATTATTTTATAGTAGATTTCTTCCACACTGTATCTGTCTATGTCTTTCTTTGGTTTAGATCTTTCAGATTTGTCTGTGTCTTTATCAGTTGCATTACTTTGTGACTGTTTTGGTTTATCTTTGCTCTCACTGGTTTTTTTCTGCTACAGAAAAAATGTGATATTCAAAAACCTCAATTAAAACTTTTGTTATCATATCTGGTGTTTTTTACTATTATGGACAAGCTTTTAAAAAAAAAAGTCTTAAATATGATGCAACAAATGTGTAAGGAGAAGCGTAAAATCCAAATGAGAAACAACCTTCTCCGATCTCTTTTATTTTACTCCAAATGTAGTGGTGATAAAAAATCATCAATTGTATAAAGTTAAAGACTGTTTTAGGATAATTTCATTTCTTTCATCTATCTTCAGAAATATTAGGAATTGCAAAACTCATTACATAAAATTCTAAATTCACCAACAAAATCAAGTGATGCAACCTCATTGTACTTGAAGTTCCTATCTTTACAAAAAGTTAACTTCAATAAACAATTTTTGAAAGTTCCCTCATTCAGATCAAATTAGAACTCACCCAAATCTCATAAAAAAACTTTTTAACCATTCCTTATCTCTCAACGTTGTAATACCGAATACAGGATTCTGCGAGAAACAATTTCGATTATGAGGAAAAACTTACATCAGATACAATATCAGTACTTTCTTGAGGCACAACTGCTTCATTCGGTGATAACAACTGCCTCATAATCAGAGCACTTGTCTGCTCAATTTTTTTGACCATATACTCTTCACTGCCAGGTACAGGTGATGGAGGTTTCTCTATTCTTTTTGATGGTCTTTCCCTAATATTTCTATATGAGTATCGATTGCCTCCGCACTGCTGCCTATATTTGAAAGTGAATTTGAATTAAATGAGAGTCATTAAAAGACCTTTTGAATTCATTCATTTCTAAGTTTTTTCGTTTTGATTGAAATTGTAAAAGCAGCGTGCTAAAAGGTAATTTCCGATATATTAGGAAAAGAATGACAATTTACCCTCTATGATAAGTTTTGAAGGTATTATGCTTTCGATAGGCCCTTCTCCGATTGCGATCATAATAAACATCGTTAGAAATTGTGTCATTATTTGCATCGTTCCTGGATTTTTTTGTTGGGTAATATTTGTAAGAATTATTCCTGAAATCCGAGTATCTACCCATGACATTGAGATGTCTTTATTTGAATATCCCTAATTGTTTAAATGCCTTTCGATTTTTGAAAATAAACAAACGTACATAACCTCACTTCTATGTGTGACAGGTGTAGTGATGGGTTAAAAAGTTCGATATCGAATATTTTCAAGTGGTTTTTTGTCTAAATCCTCATCCATCGTAAATGACTGAGGTGATTGCCCATCGAGTTCAAAACAAGGACAGACCCAGCAACTCATTCGTAAAACTACATTTGACTCGTTTACGACATAAACAGAAAGTTAGGCGAGGTGCTATGAGGGAATGAGTGGGGATCCGCCGCATGAGAATTCAGGCTGCGAAACCTAACGTCAATGAAAACCCTATGTTTGAACATTGGTACAATTACACATAGGCGTAGCATACAATACGTATAAGGGTGACAAAATAAGCGTATTGAAACTCCCGATTTCAAAAAACGGTACGAAGTAATATTGTGTGATAATAAATATATGTTCTATATTTTTTTTACTTAAATTAGTGCAATATCCAGTTCAATTGGAATAGAAACTCCAAGTTACTATTTTGATATCAATCCATTGTACGAGCATCATGATAAGTACCCACACATGTGCTGAAAAATCACCATAAACAGGGAATAATTTTAATTACTGGAGGCTCGAGAATGTGTAGAATGACCACAAGCAGATCTGTTGTTTTGCTGCCGCATTTTGCGGCAAGGCAACGTTGCGATTCGCTTTGTATATGTCGTCAATAACCAGAAATGTAAACAAAGGGGTCTAACCTCGTTTTAAACTCGATGGGATTGCTTCTGTAGTCCTGCCTATATTTGACAGGAAATTTGAATTAAATGAAACCCTGATTATTGAAACAACCCAAACTTATAAACCATTTGAATTCATTTTTTCAACGTTTTGTTTCGAGTAAAATTGTAAAAGCAGCGTGCTAAAAGGTAATTTCCGATATATTAGGAAAATAATGACAATTTACCCTCTATGATAACTTTTGAAGGTATTATGCCTTCGATAGGCCCTTCTCTGATTGCGACCATAATAAACACCGTTAGAAATTGTGTCATTATTTGCATCGTTTCTGGATTTTTTTGTTGGGTAAGATTTGTAAGAATTATTCCTGAAATCCGTGTATCTACCCATCACATTGAGATGTCTTTATTTGAATATCCCTAATTAGTTAAATGCCTTTCGATTTTGGAAAACGTACATAAATTGACTTCTACGTGTGACAGATATAGTGATGGGTTAAAAAGTTCGATATCGAATATTTTCAGGTGGTTTTTTGTTTAAATCCTCATCCATCATAAATGATCCAATGTGAAAAAGTGGATTCCCTGAATTTTTAACTGCCACTGTTATGCTGAAATATAGTATTCAATCATAAATTTCAAATTTTTAACTTGACCCGTCCAAAAATGCTTTTAATTCAATTCACGTCAAACCTCCTTCCCCAACTTACAGTTTGAAATCGAAAGTAATTGGAAAAGTATTAAACGGCAAAAAAAACCAAAATATTTGTTCACTTTTATTTTATGTTAATTATACAGCAAACACCAAGCTATATACAGGAAAACAGGTATGCTATATCAGTCCCAATAAATCCGGAATCGCGGGATACACGCGACATCAACCAATCACTTATGCTTGGTCTTTTTCTTTTTCTTCTTGTTCTTCTTATGTTTTTTCCTCTTCTTTCTGTCGCTGTCACTAGAATCGGACTCGGAGTCCGAACTGCTGCTGCTACTGCTGCTCTCTTTCTTCTTTCTCTTCTTCCTCTTCTTGTGCTTCTTCTTTTTCCTTTCTTCCTCCGAACTGGAGTCCGAATCTGAACTCGAACTGGAACTCTTTTTCAGCTCGCCTTCAGACTGCGACTCGTCGTAATCCGGTTCGAAATTCGCTTCGTCTATGGTCGGTTTGCGTTTCGTCGTCGTCGACGGTTTCGGCTCATCTTTAGCTTCTTTCTCGATCTGGTCTTCTTCGTCTTTGCCCTTTTTCGTTTTCTCTTTCTTCACCTTCTTGTCTTTTTTCTTGTGTCTCTTGTCGTCGCCCTCGCTAGGCGATCTCGACCGCTTCTTTTTCTTCTTATCGTCTTGTTTCCTTTCGTCCTTCCTATCCTTCCTCTTCTCTGTTCCTTTCGGCTCGTGCCTGCCGTGGTGTCTGATTTCCAATCTTCTGTGGACATCTCTGGAATCATCCCTTCTCCTTGATCGTGATCGCCTACCTCTTCTGCAACAAAACGAAAAACAGTCAGTTTCAGCATGGATTATGATTTTGATAGATATTGGAGCAACAAAATCAAATCAAATGTCATTAGCTTTTTTCTTACCTGTGGTCGTCATGTTCCCTTCTCTCGCCCATCGCGTAGTTTCTTCCGCTCTCCCCTCGTCTACTGAACGGCGAAATAGTCCCTGCTCTATTTCTTCCTGTCAGATTGATAACTTTCTCTGAATCGTCCACCTTTATGCCTAACCTCTCTTTCACTGGGAGTCTCGCTGGGGGTTGTTCTTTTTTCACTTCCACCGTGCTCGATATAAGAATCACCTAAACAAAAAAATACAAACTGTTTCACCACAAAATAACAGGCTGCGTCCCAGAATATGTCAACATCTATACGAGGATTGTTTCAAAAATAAGGAAGCTCATTATCAGTACTTTAGAGTAAAAATGAATGTCTTTTGGAACTGCGATCTGGCAGGCTGTCAACTGTACATTGAATTGCTTATAATTCAAAAACAATATATTTTTGATTTATCTTTCAGCTAGCATCCTCGTAAATAAAATTAAAAACTATAGTTTCAGAAACCCCGTAGATCAATAGATGCTGTTATTTATGTCAAACAAAAAAATTCAGGTCAAGCTGGTTAGCACTATTTCTAATCTAGATGACACACTTTGGTACACCTCAGAGTGGAGTGCTATCACCATTTCAGTTTTTCTCATTTGTGAACGATTTATCATTTCCAAACTTTTACCAATCGGACCCAAGAAGAAAATTAGAGGTACATTGAGATGTAAAAAAACCTAAAAACATATTGGAACACCGTTTCTAATAAAAACCTCACCGCCCCATAAACCGCAGCCCGCGTTCAAAACTATTCACAAAATCGGATAGTGGGCCGCGGAATTCCTACACCCGAGCGCCGGAAATAGCACCAAGTCACCTTCAGCTCTCGAATTCGATATTTTAAAAAACGGCTGTAAAATTATTAATCTGAATAAGAAAAACGATGTAATAATTTCCTTCATCAAGATGAAACTAACAAGCGTACAAGGAAAAAAAATTTAAGCTCCTGGGCTAAAAAGATGAAAAAAGTTTCCTTGCGCTATTTGTTAGTATTGCATCGTTCTAAAAACCCGAAAAGTAGAACCTTAAAGCTTCAAAATGCCTTATTGAAGTCTAAGTACGACCATTTTTCACCTGTCAAAAATCGCCGAGTGCGATCACCATTTCAGTTTTTGTCATTTGTGAACGATTTATCATTTCCAAACTTTTACCAATCGGGCCCAAGAAGAAGATTAGAGGTACATTGAGATATAAAAAAATCTAAAAACATATTGGAACACCGTTTCTAATAAAAACCTTACCACCCCAGAAACCGCAACCTGCGTTCAAAACTATTCACAAAATCGGATAGTGGGCCGCGGAATTCCTACACCCGAGCGCTGGAAATAGCACCAAGTCACCTTCAGCTCTCGAATTCGATATTTTAAAAAACGGCTGTAAAAATATTATTCTAAATAAGAAAAACGACGTAATAATTTCCTTCATCAAGATGAAACTAACAAGCGTACAGGAAAAAAAAATTAAGCTTCTGGGCTGGCTAAAAAGATGAAAAAAGTTTCCTTGCGCTATCTGTTAGAATTGCATGGTTCTAAAAACCCGAAAAGTAGAACCTTAAAGCTTCAAAATGCCTTGTTGAAGTCTAAGTACGAACATTTTTCACCTGTCAAAAATCGCCGAGTGCTATCACCATTTCAGTTTTGGTCATTTGTGAACGATTTATCATTTCCAAACTTTTAACAATCGGGCCCAAGAAGAAGATTAGAGGTACGTTGAGATATAAAAAAACCTAAAAACATATTGGAACACCGTTTCTAATAAAAACCTCACCAGCCCATAAACCGCAACCTGCGTTCAAAACTATTCACAAAATCGGATAGTGGGCCGCGAAAATCCTACACCCGAGCGCCGGAAATAGCACCAAGTCACCTTCAGGTCTCGACTTCTATATTTTATAAAACGGCTGTAAAATTATTATTCTAAATAAGAAAAACGATGTAATAATTTCCTTCATCAAGCGTACAAGAAAAAAAAATTAAGCTCCTGGGCTAAAAAGATGAAAAAAGTTTCCTTGCGCTATCCGTTAGTATTGCATGGTTCTAAAAACCCGAAAAGTAGAACCTTAAAGCTTCAAAATGCCTTGTTGAAGTCTAAGTACGATCATTTTCCACCTGTCCAAAATCGCCGAGTGCTATCACCATTTCAGTTTTAGTCATTTGTGAACGATTTATCATTTCCAAACTTTTACCAATCGGGCCCAAGAAGAAAATTAGAGGTACATTGAGATGTAAAGAAACCTAAAAACATATTGGAACACCGTTTCTAATAAAAACCTCACCGCCCCATAAACCGCAACCTGCGTTCAAAACTATTCACAAAATCGGATAGTGGGCCGCGGAATTCCTACACCCGAGCGTCGGAAATAGCACCAAGTCACCTTCAGCTCTCGAATTCGATATTTTAAAAAACGGCTGTAAAAATATTATTCTAAATAAGAAAAACGACGTAATAATTTCCTTCATCAAGATGAAACTAACAAGCGTACAAGGAAAAAAAATTAAGCTCCTGGGCTAAAAAGATGAAAAAAGTTTCCTTGCGCTATCTGTTAGTATTGCATGGTTCTAAAAACCCGAAAAATAGAACCTTAAAGCCTCAAAATGCCTTGTTGAAGTCTAAGTACGACCATTTTTCACCTGTCAAAAATCGCCGAGTGCCATCACCATTTCAGTTTTAGTCATTTGTGAACGATTTATCATTTCCAAACTTTTACCAATCGGGCCCAAGAAGAAGATTAGAGGTACATTGAGATGTAAAGAAACCTAAAAACATATTGGAACACCGTTTCTAATAAAAACCTCACCGCAACCTGCGTTCAAAACTATTCACAAAATCGGATAGTGGGCCGCGGAATTCCTACACTATTCGAATTCGATATTTTAAAAAACGGCTGTAAAATTATTATTCTAAATAAGAAAAACGATGTAATAATTTCCTTCATCAAGATGAAACTAACAAGCGTACAAGAAAAAAAAAATTAAAAAATTTTCCTTGCGCTATCTGTTAGAATTGCATGGTTCTAAAAACCCGAAAAGTAGAACCTTAAACCTTCAAAATGCCTTGTTGAAGTCTAAGTACGACCATTTTTTACCTGTCAAAAATCGCCGAAAAATTCGAGTTTTTTTCTTGTTCCTTAATACGTAGGGGGTATCTAAATGCGACTCACCTCTTCTTTGTCAACATCTCCCGAATAGAGCTTGACCCTGTCCGCCCCGATTTTCTTGATCTCGATCGGCCGAATCGCGTTGATCGCTTTCGCGAAGATGGCGTTCTCGGCGCGCTTCAGCACCTCGTTCGTCACCTTTCCGGACTTGTCGCTCTTCGTATCCGACACGTTGCTTTCTTTCGGACTCAACAGCCCGTCGTCGTCCACTTCCCATTTCGATCTCTCCGGCACCGGAGCCAGGATGTCGCTTTTATCCAGCTCCGTCTTCAAATCCATGTCTGTGGTGTGCAACTCCAAGATATCCTTTTCCTCCTCGTCGAGATCCTTGATCTCGCCTTCTTCCATCGGTTCTTCCATGCCCATCGTTTCTTTTTCGACTATGTCTTCGAAGGATGTATCTTCGTCTAGCTTGCCGTAACCTTCGACGACTTTGACATCTGCCTGGTCCGCGATGTCGTCATATAAGTCTTGTTTGACGTCGGAACCTTGCCGTATAGTTGGTTTCGGTTCGTTTTTAACAGATTGTATGTCTTTTTTCGGTTTTGATTCAGCAATCTTCTCAGGCGTTTCTGCTTTAGGGGAGGGATCTTTAACCTTTGCTTCTGCTTTCTTTTCTTCTGTCTTGGATTCCTTCTTTTCAACCTTATCAGGTTCAACTTTTTCATCCTCGATTTCCTCTTTGCTTTCACCTTCCTTTTTAGTTGTCTTTTTCTCGTCCCTAGACTTCTTGTCCTTAGCATCTTTATCTTTCTTGTGCTTGTCTTTCTTTTCTTTCTTCTTCTTCCTGTCAGTATCTTTCTTTTCCTTGTGATGTTTCTTTTTATCTTTACTGCGTTTCTTTTCATCGTCTTTCTCTTCTGAGGAGTCTCTTCTTTTTCTCCTTTCTCGTTTGTCTGGCGAGTCTCTCTCTCTAGATTTCGATTTTCTTTTCGGGCTAGGATTTCTAGCTCTATCAGGGGTTCGACTTCTCTTATCTCGTCTTCGTTTTCTATCCCTGTCTCTATCCTTGTCTCTTTCCCTATCCCTTTCTCTGTCTTTTCTGTCTACGTGTTTATCTTCCCTTTCTTTTTCTTCCCTTTTAGGAGTTCCAACGCGCGGTGGAGGCTCATCGACACCTGAAATCATTGGAAAAAAAGAACGATGTTAACGAGGATATGAAAAAGGAAATTGAATTTCATAGATTTCGGAACTAGTGGTTTAATCAATGTTTTTGGCGGAGAAGCAGTTTTATCGCAAAACTTCTATAGTACCCTTCGTATCTGTAAAAATGTTATACAAAGGTTTAAATAATTTTGTTAGCGGTATAATTATAAGATTAATTTTTACGTCGATGTCGAAAATATCTACAGCAGTCGAGCTTTTTAATTTGTTGATCGTATGATACTGTTTTAAATTAGAAACATAATGCATTCTACCTGGAGGTGCAATTTCGTCGTCTACGCCTGGCGGTCGGATGTCTTGGTATTGCTGCCTTTGAGATGGTTGGATGCTGTGGATCGTTTGCGGGAACGGCTGGTTGTAAGACGTTGGAGGAAAGTCTCTCCCGTGAGGAACTTGGCCATACCTAAACACATCAAGGAAAACAGATCGTTAGACTTACAGATCGATAGTTACGTTGTTTTCTCCTCGGGGCACTTATCCTTGTAACCAAAAGCATTCACGTCACGTGGTTTGAAGCGCGATACTTTCATTTTGGTTTCAAAATTAAAGTGTGTGCTCCGAGCAAATATGCGACCAATAAATGTCTTGAAGCTGTTTGAAGGGATAACAAATCATTGAATTCACAAAATTTTGACAAAATATCAGGCTGTATTTAGAATTTTTTTTTACAGAAATAGCAATCGAAATAGCGGTGGAATACTGGAGAAGAAGTATAGATGAGAAAGAAGGTACTTTAACAGTATTTTTATTATAGATAGAGATTGTTAATGAAATTACATTACTATGGCTTTAAAGGATCAGAATTACACATTTTACAAAATTATTTAGTAAATAGAAGTCAACAAACTGAAACTGAAGCTTTCGAAACATATCAGTTGGGAGTGCCACAAGGTAGTAAATTAGGGCCCTTACTATTCATTATATATAAAAATGATATCTCTGACATTCTAGAACGCTGTAAAATTCAAATATTTGCAGACGATACATTGATATATATAGCATATAAACATTTGGACATTGCTTTAGAAGTGTTAAATAGTGATATAAAAAATTATGAATTGGTTAAATGTTAAAAAAGTTAAATTTATAATAAAACAAAAATGTATGCCAATAGGGAAACATTTAGGCTCATAATTAATGATGAAAAAATTGAAGTCGTCCAATCATTCAAATATCTGGATAGTAAGTTACTGTTTCAAGGTCATTGTTCCAAATATATAAAAAAAAATTAATTACTTCTGAAGAGTTTCCCATAATCTCAGTATGTATTAAAAAAATAGATAGTTCTTCCCCATTTTTTATTTTGTTCAACCATTTTGTGTAAGGCATATAAAGAAGTATTTTCAAAATTAAAAATTCTACAAAATAAAGCTATGAGAATCATTTTAAAAATAAAAACAAATATGCTAAGATTAAGTCTATGTTATGTTAGAAAAACTGCAGTAGGTGAATCCAAAATATTTTATAAGTTATTAAATCCTCATTTTTATATTCAAATCAAAAAATAATTTATTACCACCACATTTAGAAAAATTCACAAAAATGAATAGTTATTATCATAACAACGAAACAAGAGGCAGTATGGATATTCATCTACAAAGTTGTGATAGTAGCATAAGTAGCAAACCTGTACTTCAAAAGGGAGTATTTGAATTTAATAAAATGTATAATTTTAAAAACTATTTAAACATGTTTAAGGTGAAATTGAAAAAAAATCACATTATGAATACCCACAATGCATAGTGATTTAGTTTTAATAGACAGGGATGTAAAGTTACAGAAAATTGATTTAAAAATGTATAAACTAATGACTATACAAAATTGACATTGTAGCATTAATGCTAAATAAATCTTCAACAAATAAACAAACCTGATCTGTCAGCTGAACCTATCACGGCACAAGACAACTTGAGATGCTAGATTTGTAACATAATTTCCATTTGGGATATTGGAAATTCCAATGTATTTTTCATTTGTGCCTCTGTCTCTATGTTTTGAAATACGCTAAAAGCTGCAACGATTTACGCAAGAGATAAGCTTGCAGCTGGTGTCCTTTAACAGCTCGCACCAAAAAAATGTATATGGTCTATTCAATTCTTCGGGAACTGTTAAGGTGCAAAGCCCAACATGACGTGAATGGTATAGGTTCAAAAAAAGTGCCAGGGAATACAGTTTTAACTGTATAAAATTGTGTCAACAATTTTTTACAGTTTTCGATCAACTAGAGATTAAACCAAACCGGCGATGAAGATTTCAGGATCTGAAGTTACATCTTGTTCCTGTCGAAGCTCTCACTCCTGTGATTCTTAGAAAACTGCACTTTCTCAGCTACCTAAAAAAACTATCGAACTTGCGTTTTCAAGAAAACAAGCCTCTTTCCTTGTGAATGTTTTATTGTAGATTCGGTTTACAGGTCTACTCAGTATGATGAAAAAGGTAAACATAACAAAATAATACAAAGGCAACTTTAGATCATTATTTCAAGATATCCTCGATCCGATGAAATCGTGCTTTTTGGGGACTCCACATTTAAATATAAATACAAAAAGATATCACAGAAAAAGTATCACAACAATTCATATGCTTAAGAAATCACAATATGTTTCGTACATCACAGAATGCGATATTAATATTTTTTAAAGAATGACTATTTCTAAGTAAAACATAAACATACATTTTGGCTTGAAGAACCATCTATTTGTACCAATATTTTGCTACCAGTTGATATTGTGAAATGGAGGAATGTATTATATTCGACAATTTTAGCTAGGTTAAAAATTGCTGTAAAATAAATTAATCTCAAAATAGTCTTCAGATGCATAAATACCTCAAAAATCACAAGTTTTTAAGCATTGAATATACCCATTTTGAGGTGTTTTCGGAAATTGAACCGCTTATAATTCGAAAATGGTTGGTTTTAGAAAAAAGTTACTGGAGGCCTTTTTTGTTCGGAATGATCAAAAATCTTGAAAAAAAAGTTTAAACAAATGGGTTGCCGTGCTTAAAAACTCGGTTAATAATATTTTCTGAGATCGCCATGTGACTGAATTCAAATAAAAACCTTGCTCTATAAGACCTTGATCAGTATTTTGAGATTAGTTTATTTAATTGACGAACACGCAGATTTGGATCTAACAAATATTTTTTGTAATTTTTAGGTGATTTGTAATGATGAATAACTGAAAATATCTCAGCATTCATGTAAGCTTAGGACGATCGATTTTCAATAATTTTACCTCAAAGTCGAAACCCTCCAGTTCTCTCATTTACGATCCGAACGAATATACGAGGGCCATCCGATAAGTACTTGGCCTGCAAGTGGCAATTTATTTTTAACGTCTTTAAAGCGTCTGAAAAAATACGTTTTCTGGAGGTGTGCAAAGTAGGCGATAACCTGCTCATTCGACTCGGCGAGTGACTTTTTCAAGTTTGGAAACAAAAATGAGCCGGTGCATGGTCGAAGAGTACTTTTTTCTTCGCCAAATGGGGCCGTCCTTTCTGCAATTCGGTCTCGAATCGGCCCAATAATTCGGCATGAAAGAGCCCTGTGACCGTGTTGCCCTTCTGCAGGTATTCGATGTAGATCACACCTTGTGAATCCCAGAAAACGGTTACCATCGAAACGCTGCTTCCAAGTGTTCTTTGATTTCGCTGCGCGAATTGCATTCCAAAAACGAGAACCGAATCACCGACCGATACAAAACAAAACTACCAGTCCGATTAGGCTACGTACTTATCGGGTTGCCCTCGTATACGGACATATTTTTTTCAAAAAGTAAAGTCGCCTTCAGCGTACAGAAGAATGCACCAAATTTTACTAAAATAACCAAGAGTAACATATAATATAGATAACGTATAAAATCACCTGAGGAACAAATTGAAAAATAAGAAAACAACAACCAATTGATATTAATACAAATTATACGTATCATTTGTAATACTCTTATAAATACTACCAGCACTACAAATATCAAACAAGTCATAAATTCAAAAGGTGATTCAAGTCTATCACAAAAGTATCACTTGGTATCAACCAGAATATCTACTCAGTACGAAAGTTGCGTTAAATGGCGATATAGCAAAACATGTAATACAAGTAAGACAGCGCAAAGCGCCATCTACAACATATATGTAATACAAGTGTGAAGAATAAGAATCTAATAAACCCTGAAGCAACACAGCGTGTCCTGAAAATTGGTACTTTCCTTTTCACAAACAACTACGTTGGACATAACGTTTATTTGCGATAAAGCAGCACCGAAAACGTAAACAAGAAATCGAAGAAAAATACTATTTATTTGGTAAGGCATTTCAAGTACTGTCCTATTGTAAAGGGATATCCATCTGTTGGTTTATATCACGATTGGCAACACTTACATCAGCTCTGTTTTGACAGGAATTTAGTAGAGAGACTGCGGTGAGCGAATATGGATCGATATATGCTTGAGCAACGTCGGTGAGTCTCCACCTGGTTTCGCAAAGTTTGTGAAAAAAGTGCGCGCGGCTGGCTTGCCAGTGGACCGAAAACTACAAACCCGTGGTTCGTTCGGCACGCTCATTGGACAATATCGCCGTTTTATTATTTTTTTTTGCGGGGAAGATAAATGCAGCGACCTGGAAGACCAACATTCGTGCAGCCATCGCTGAAAAATAATGTCGCAGACTTTGGAAAATTGGATCGACAGAATCGGTTACGTCAAGCTCAGCCTTGGCGCGAAAATTAATGAGATTGTATTCCATCATGATACTCTCAAATAAAAAAAACCTTCTGAAAAGAGAACTTCATTTCAACCATCGATGGATCATCCTTTAATTGCTTGAAGTTATCTCTGATTCAAAAACACGAGTTTATTTACCTCTTAATAATTTCGCAACATTTGGGGCTGTCTAGGTCAGACGGCTTTTGCGCGATATAAACAAATATATGCGGCTCTGATGGAAAGAAACATCGAGGACGACGGCGAAATTTTTAGTACACTCACGGAGTATCGATAGGATAAAATTTATAAACTAGGTTAACCTACACACCGCGCGGCGCCTGATTTGGTTAGTGACGTACGAGAGGTCGGAATAGCTAGAAATATAACTTAATATCTCAGTCATCTGAAGACTTTGTGCTTGTCATTGCCTGGCCTAAAGGAAAGTCCCAACTTTGATGACACTCTGTATAAATAAGAGGTCAATAGGTAACGCACCTTACAAAACGTCAAATGACAAAATACAGTAGATATACAAAATATGTGGTCATTTCATTCTTAAATTCGCAATGCAGTTTATATTTAGGACAAAGAGGTAAGCAGTAATATTACTGGGATGTCGGATTTTAAACAAATTATATAGAGGTACCTCTACCCTAAATGATAAATTGATAGTTTTTGTTGACAAATTAAGACAAAAATTGACTTGACTTTCATTGTGAATAAGACAAAAGTTACGGCTTTTAAATGCTCCCTCGATTCAATAAACGTAAACAGAACATCCAACAATTGATTGGTTAACTGACAAATATTTCCAATATTATACGAAGAACTAGGTACAAAGTGAGGAAGTCAAAACCTTAAGCAGTTATTTTGCCTTATTTGAAAGTAGATTAAGTTAAATACCTTTTGGTGTATCCGTTCTAAAAATAGCTTGAAATATTCAATAGAACGATAATCATTTCTAACTCTTACAATTACGACAAATGTCATTATTTATGTTAGAAACAGAAATTCTATTTCTAAAAATAAACCTAAATTTGAAACAAAAATATAAATCACGATGTTAGACGAAAACGATTTTAAACCAAAATGACCATTTGTGAAAGAATCAATAACATTTTTAATGGCCTTTAAAAATATTTCACTGTAAAATTAAAATGATTTTAATAAATAAACCATATACGTTGTGTGAGTTCTACAATACAATCTTTTAAATTTAATTAAATTGAAAAATTTTTAAAATTAATTTTTAAAATTTTAAATTCACTCAAGATCCTCTTTTATGTAGTTTAGTTATGAGTAAGCTTTGTTCGTCAATATGGTTGTTCTTCAGACGATATATCCACGAGGTCTGTAAATTAAGTAATGAGCCTGGCAACGTACGGTTCGATCTATCAAGAAAAATCTACGCAAAAATGCTTCCATAATGTCAGCAGGAAGGAAATGTGCATTGACTTTTCGGTTTCGATTATAAATGATCCCAATTTTCTGGAGACGAGTCTTGGGTGTTTGAGTACATTGTCGTCCAGTTAGGTAAGAAAAAGCTTCAGTCTTTATTGGGTACTTCGAGAAATTAGTGCAAAGTGTACTCTTGTAACTTGTCATCTATGCCATCATCATCAGGAGAAAAGTAGGCGAGATTGTTGCTAAATGTTATTGACTAAGTTAGTAACCTGATGAAAAGTAGCTAAAATTTATAAAATACACACAGCCATGTGTCAAAAAATCATCACAACGGACTAAACACTTTTGGATTGATTGATAAAATTTTTGATTTCATACATCGTGCACGATCTTGCTACTTTACAAGATGGTGCACGGGACAAAACACTCTCCAAAGCCTAAAAAAGCAATAAAGTCGAAGTCGAACATTAAATGCACGCTGATTTGTTTTTTAGACATCCATGGAATCGTTCAGAAGGCCAAACGGTCAATCAACAGTTTCTTCTTTTCGAAAAACTTCGAAAAAGAATCACCGGCGTAAAACCAAACAGCACACGAATGCCTCGTAATGAGTTTGTGTCCAGTAAAAACATCAGCCTGAGACTTTAGTCCTTGCGACTTTTTACTCTTCCCGAAGCTGAAAAATTACCCAAAGGGAACAGTCGGAAACATTTAAACCGGTCAGCTTAAGGCTATTCCAGCATCGGAGTTAAAGCACTGCTATAAGGAGTGGAAGAACCGTCTTCAGCGCTGTGTCGCTTCAGTAGGAACTTATTTCATATAAAATTGTAATTTTAAAAAAAATCAGCCTCCTTACTTAATTTCTGTGGCAAATAGTTAAAAGGGCATACGTCGATTATTTCGATTCTTATAAAATCAACTTGAGGTTTTACGGAGGCTAGAGGAATTTTATTGTGATTTTGATGGCCTTCTCTTCATATATCTACGTATACAATTTTACTTAACTCTTCTTAAAGTCGCCCCCTCAACCAACAAGTAAAAATGTCATGGGTCGAAAAACTTCTAACTTTTTGCCACAGATTTACAGACCTCGAATCTAACAAGCAAACTTGAAATGTGTATTTCTTCTTCTTCTTTACAACGCAATCCGAATTAACCACCTTATCAGAGGAACAACATAAGTGTGTACCGCCAGCGTTTTTTTTTTTTGGATGAGTAGAAGCGTACCTGTTTGGTTGATACCCCGGAGGCGGCACCTGTTGCCCGCCAGTCTGCACCGCCCCGTAGTAATCCGGATGAGGCGGGTTCGACCATTGCTGGCTCGGGGGCGGTCCTTGGGGCGCTCCCCTACCCCCGTCGAAGTACCGATCTCTGTCCCTGTCTCTGTCGCGCGATCGTACGTCTCTCTCTCGATGCGAGCCTCCTCTGGGGCCTCGGTATTCGCGATCGTCCTCGAACGAGCGCTCTCGGTCTCGACCCGTGTAACGGGATCTGTAACAAACGAGAGGCGGCGTCAGGCGATGTCGTCGACTTCACGTCTACGGTGTACGGAGTGGTGCACAATGATTGCCAGTTGAGAAAGTGTAGCGAAATCAAAAAGTTCATTGCTCGGTCGGGTAGTACAGGGTCCGCCTATTCGGGCGACAGTGGTGGGAAGAGCCGTCCGACTAGGGCGTTCCTAGCATTTTTACCACTAGACACTATGGAGCAGTGCTCGCTTGAGCACCGCGTTTTCGCGTACGAAAAAGTGTCTATGACGACTGTACAGCGTGAGTTTCGTCGTCACTTCAAGATCGATCGGAAACACCGTCCTTCGTCACCTCGCACACGTGGTGTACTGATCAACAAATGAACGCCTCCAGCAACGCATCATCAAAAACCTGTCACCGCATGACTGATGCGATTTTCCACACTCAATTGTGACAAAGGCAATTTCATTGTGAACCGAAATCCGTCGATAAATTTGTTTTTGAGTGAAAATGATCGATTTTGTGCCGGATCCTGTATAAGGCGTTATTGAGTCTGGGAAAATTCCGATGTTAATAATGCCTTTATTGACGCATCCACGCCGCAGGGAGAAGAATAGCCGGCTGGCTACTCTACCACTTAACCTTACAACGTGGGAAAATGCACAGGAAAAAAATAGCTCAACATGCACATAAAGAAATTGACAAGGTCATATTAGCAAGGCAGCCACTTCTAAGTTCAGGTTGTATGACACTTCATGCAAGTCAAATGGATAAAATGACAGTCAGCCGAGTGAATATTGCATGTAAATCAAATGTATAAACTAAATATAGTAACGGTCCCAACACGGAGCCTTGAGGTACACCGGATAAAACTTTTACCGACCCTTGCATGTTTCCACGCTCTGGGTACGATTGTTCGAATATGATTCGAAGAAACGTAGCGGCTTGTTAGTGATACCATGAAATTTCAGATTACTTAAAAGGATACCATGATGCACCACGTCGAAAGCCTTAAAGGAGTTTGCCAGTATCACGATCAATGGAATTTTTCCAGGCTCAAACGCCTCTCATACTACTCAGTAGGTTTATCAGTTCTGGTTGCCCAAGTGTCAGACAAAATTAGGGAGACAGAAAAAGAGAAAAAAGCTGGCAAGTAAGACTGGGGAATCTCAGATGTAGGAAATTAATCTTCCAGTTATTTGTAAGTCCAGTCGGATTCTATCGCGTTTTTTCTTGAGCCTATAGTATTTCCGAAAAACCTGGTACACGAACGTTTCTTCTATGTTTGTCTGACACATAAATTAAAGTAAGTACAGTTGAAATGATTAATGACATGCACAAGCAAATTATGGCTGAATCCAGTGGGGATCGACGCGTTCGGCGTGCGGGTTAAATAGTCACGATGGAACGTTGGACCGGAGCGCAACGTGCGTTTGCTATCGACGCGCACTTTGAGAGTGGTGATTCGTACGCAGCTGTAATTCGGAAATTTTGTACACGATACAAGAGATGCCCTAAGTGTAAAGTAAAAATGCGTTTTTGTCCAATCAGTCCATGCTTTAAAGGATTACTTGTGAGAGCGTTGTTTTCAGTGACGAGGCCCATTTTCACTTAAACGGCTATGTGAACAAGCAAAATTGCAGATATCGGGCACCAACGAACCCAAAGTAACATCAACAACAACTACATAGTAAAAGGTCGCTGTTTGGTGCGCCATATCCTCTAGCGGTATTGTTGGGCCGTATTTCTTTGAAGATGAAAACGGTTATGCATTGACAGTCAATACAAAGACATGATTGACATTTTTTGCTCCAGTTGTAAGAACATTTAACAGAAACACATGGTTTCAACAGGATGGAGCCACTGCCCATCCTTCCAGCGAATCAATGGACCCGGTGAAAGCACTTTTTCTGGCGATACTTTTATTATTACACGCTCACTCATTAATTAAAAGTTAGGCAAATTTTTACCATGCATCCCATCCGACAAGTACTCGGTGTTCCTAACAAAAACCAAATAATCATTTCATACACCGAAACCGAACTTACAAAAAAAACAAGACAATGCAAACTACAAAACGAGTACACGAAATACGGACATGCTCTTGTGACCGTCGACTGACCTTGGCGGCGGGGATCTGGAGCGTCTGCCCCCAGAAGCTGGGGACGGCGATCGATACCTAGGCGCTTTTCGAGACGGCGGGGGTGGAGAACCCCTTCTCACGGGCGACCTGTAAGGAGGCGGCGGACTGCCCCTACGACTTCCGGAGAACGATCTGCTGCGGGATCTGGAATCACACATATACCCTCACACAAACAGTACGACCTTGTCGGTAGGTTATAGAGGATGGTCCAACATAAAAGTGGGACTGTAAGTAAAAACAGGCAACTCCTAGACACGTGTTGTGTATGAGAGGAAGGATTGGAATTTAGGAAAACGACTACTGTGGGTAAAAAAATAGCGCGGATAAATGAAAAAAGAAAACGTTAAAAACAATCGGAACGAAGCAATATCGATTGAGAAACCAAAGCAAAAAAATATAACAGAATTTAAAGTAGATAATAAAATTATTTTGTTCTAGTACTCCGTATACATAAATGGTTTCTCTTGCTTGCTTTTTTGCTTTCAAAAATCATCATACGGAGTATCAACAAAGCAGAATAATTTGACATCCATATAAACATTATCAACTCAAGATTCTTCGATGAGAGTCAAATATATGGGATTACAAATCCAAAAGTGAGACGCCATATGCAAATGCCTTGTGACATGGGTTTTACCCTTTACCGAAAATCATTTTACCAAATAGTTTAACAAGGTTAGTACGTTAAATGAGACATGCACTTCCTGAAAGCCATGCAAGAAAAATATAAAAACTAGACAACACATTTACAGAGATTTACATTAGTGTAGTTAGTAGCAAATAAGTAACTGGAACTGTATCTGAAAAACTAACCTGTGCTTTTGAAAACTTTAAAATTAAGATACAACTTATGGCAACTAGTAGTTAAATCACGAGAGGAAATTTTGTTGATCTCGAGTTTCTTCTGCATTAAGAACGGAAGCAGACCATAATCGCGTAATGATATGATACGATAAATCTAGTCAATTTAAAAAAAAATCAAAATACTGTCAAAAAAATCTTAAATACCTTGAATATTAAAATCATGAATATTTTTAATAATACGAAATTTTTGAAAATTTAAAAAATGAAGGAAATTGCAGAATTTTAAAAGTATTGTAAATAACAAAATTTTTAAAAATTATGAATTTTTGAAAATCAAAAATTTTGAGTCATTTTAGATCATTTTAGAAATCTTGAAAAATTTGAAAATCGTGAAAACGACTGAATTTTCGAACATTTTAAGAAATGAAAAAAATAAAAAATAAATTAATATATATATATATGAAAATCTTTAAAATTATATAATGATAAACTATGACATTTTTAAAAACTCTAAATTTGAAAAATTAAGGAAATTGAAAATTTTGTATATAATGAAAATATTGAATATTACGAAATTTTTGAAAATCAAGGAATTTTTGAATATTGTGTCATATTTATGATAGTTGTGGAGATTTTAAAAAATTTGGAAATCGTCAAATTATTAAATTTTCAAAATTTAAAAAAAATGACAATCATTTAAAAATTGGTTTCGTAAATTTAAAAATATTAAAATTTTATCCTCATCTGAGGGTAATTAAGAATCAGTTACTAGAAAACACAGAAAATATTGAAAATAAAAAAAAAATTAATATACAAATGATATTAAAATGATGAAAAATGTTAAAATTATGGATATTCTGAAAATTATGAAATTTTTTGAAAGTAAATAAAATGAAATTATGAAAATTTAGTAAATTATGAAAATATTGAAAATCACGAAATTTTTGATAAACTTGGAAATTTAAAAAATGAAACATTTAAAATTATGAATTTTCAAAGAAATTAAAAAAACTGGAAATCAAATTTTGTATACCCTGAATATTAAAATTTTGAAAAAATTGAATATTTTGAAAAATCGTGAAAGTTCGGAGAATTTTGAAAAAGCTGTAAACAGAAAATCAGTTACAAGTGCAAATTTTAAATGCTCACCTGACGGCAATTAAGAGTCATTTAGTAGAAAACACCGGATTAAAAAAAATACCGAGTTTGTTGTTTAACAACAAAATACGTAAGATTTGACCAGTTTTTAACATGTGATATCAGTACGCGACGTAACCAAAACTTTACATTTACAAAAAAAAATAGCGATCTATCCTTGGTAAATGCAAATGGGATCCTATGTAACAACAAAAAATACTAAATACCATTAACACAATTTGCGGACCGTTATTTATATGAACTTTGTCTGAAAATTACTCAAAAAATCGCCTGTTAAATTTATGATATATACTTAATTAACACCCGGTATATTCATATTGCGCTTTAACAAATTGAACCGATATATTTTATTTTCCTAAGCCAAATACTGTAAGATTTACTAATGCATTCCTTGAATATGAGTATAAAGAAGCATAGACAGTGCAAATGATAAAAATATAACACAGTTCCAATTACGACAAGCTCGACGACAGATGATGTGACTGAGTGTCACTGACCTTGGAGGCGGAGATCTGGAGCGCCTGCCCCCAGGCGACGGCGATCGGTACCTAGACGCTTTCCTTGGCGGCGGTGGCGATCCCCTTCTCGGGGGCGATCTGTAAGGAGGCGGCGGGCTGCCTCTACGGCTGCCGGTGAACGACCCGCTACGGGACCTGCAATCACACACGGCAGGCACCCTTTTGTATTTCACGCACACCGATGGCAAAATAAATGTGACATGCGCGTAAATAGCTTTAAATTAAGGGTAAGGCGGTCAAATGTCCATGCATGTCAGAAAAGTATATATATAGTCAAAGTGTTGTAGGTCAGTCGGTTTGGTTGCCCGGATTCTGGATATGAAGTTTGAGAAAAAGAGGGAAGAAGAAAGGTAGCGCTCACGCCATAAAAATGTCTCAAGGAAGAATCCGACGAATGTTTCTACCTTTTTGGCCCGCATTTAGTTAAACTTTGAGGGATGAGTGCCAATTGAGGGTGGATCAATCTCCAGATTCTACACCACCCTTAATTACCCTCAAGTGGAGATTTTCAGATTTCATATCTTGAGGATTTTTCAGGATGTTCAAATTTTTCATAATTTCAATATTATTCGGGGTATTGCAAAAATATTATTTTCTTTAAATCTTCAAAACTTTTATTTTTTAAGATTTTCGCAAATTTTATTATTTTCAGAATTTTCAAAATCATCAAAAATTCATGACATTCGAAATATTCAATTTCAATTTTCTTTAAATTAAGAGTTTTCAAAAATTTTATAATTTTATTATTTTCGAATTTTCATAATATTCAGGATTTCAAAAATTTTTAAAATCTCCAAAATTATTGAAATTTCCTTGATTTTCAAAAATTTCGGAATTTTCAATATTTTTATAGTTATAAAAATTATCAATTCCTTTCAATTTTGTTCTAATTTTTGAAAATTTCGAATTTTTCAAAATATTTATAATTTTCAATTTTTTTATAATTGTAATATTATTTAATATTTTCATATTCTTAAATTTTAGAAAATTGTATAATTTCAAAGTTTCATTTTCAAAATTTCATGACTCACCAACTTTGTAATTTTAAAAAATTTCGTAATGTTCAATATTTTCATAATTTGCAATATTTTCTATTAAAAATTTATACTCAATATTTTCATAATTTCCAAAATTTTCAATTTCTCTCAATTTTTTTAAATTTTTGAGTTTTTTAAAATGTCATGATTTCAATTTATTAATCTTAAAAATTTCATAATTTTCAAGTACCATTCATAGAAAAATTCATAGAATCTCCAAAATTATCAAAAATTTCGTGATTTTCAATATTTTCCACATTGATTTTTTAAATTTAGCTTTCAAAAATTTCGTGTTTTTTATTTTCAAATTTTTTATAATTTTATAATTATTCAGTGTATTGAAAATTTATTTTTTTAATCATAATATTTTCATTTATATTACTTTCGAAAATTTCAGTACTCAAAATTGTCATAATTTTCAAAAATTTCGTAATTTTCATAATTTAACAAAAATTCGTATTTCTTTAAAATACAGTTTTTTATAAATCTCTAAATTTTCAAAATGTTGCTAATTTTAAATTTTCTCATTTTCATAGCTTGACCATTTAAAAAAAACGAAATTTGAAGAATTTTCAAAGCTTATAAAATTCTCGCTTTTCAAAAGTGAAAATATTAAACTTGTAAATTACTGTAAAATAAAAATTTCAAATCTCCACTCGAGGATCACTGGAGGGTAGATCGTAAATGTGGACCTTAGCTTCGTTTGAACAGTATCCGTTATCCAAACAAAAAACATAAAAATACTAACCTGCTCAACGAGAACGACCTAGACCTCGATCTGGACCTGCTCCCTCTCCTCGGCGGGCCCCTGTTCCCGCCTATCGGCGACCTTGATCTCTGCCTCCGCCTTATAGGGGGCGGCGATCTGCTACCGCTACGACTCCGACTCCTGCTAAAACTGCGTCTCATCCTGCGAAACTGCCTGCGTTTCTGCTCGTCCTTCTCGCGCAGCATACGATTGAACGCTGCCAGGGGATCGTCTATCAATCTGAAAGGAATCCGATCAGATTTGCCCAGGAACAAGAACACATTGCCAAGGACATGCCACCAATCTCCAAATTTTAAAAATTTTCAAAATAACCAAAATTTTAAAGTTTCAAATTTTCATTATTTAAATTTGACAATCTTCAATTTTTTTAATTTTGTCAAATTTCAAAATATTCAATTTTTTCATAATTTTAATATTATTTAGGGTATTTAAAATTTCCAATATAATTCTTATTTTTTCGAAAATTTCAATGTTTTTAATTTCCATGATTATCAAACGTTTCGTGATTTTCAGTATTTTTACAATTTGCAAAATTATCATAATTACATTTTATGTAATTTACAAAAATTTCGTAATTTTCAGAATATCCATAATTTTAACATTTTTCATAATTTAAATATTAATAAGGGTACTAATTTTTTTAAATTTTCAATATTTTCATTGTTTAAAAATTTCATAATTTTTAGGATTACCAAATATCCGAGATTATAAAAACTTTCATGACTTTCAAAATTTTCATAATTTTCAATAATTTCGCAATTTTTAATATTCTCATAATTAAAACAAAAAAATTTCTTGAATTTTTTCATAAATTCAGTTTTCAAAAATTCCATAATTTCATTTTTTAAACATGTATTCAAAATTTGTTTAATTTTCAAAATATTTACAATTATCAATATTTTAAACATTTTGACAAAAACATTTAAATAATTTTTCAAATCTAGAAAATTTAATCATGTGACGATTACCAAATTTTTCAAAATCTCCACAATTATCAAAAATAAAACTCAATTTTCGAAACTTCCGTGTTTTTTAAAAATAACCAAAATTTTCAAGTTTCAAATATCCAAAATTTTCATTATTTAAATTTTTCAAAACTTTAAATTCATGAATTTTCTCAAATTTTTCAAAATTTAAAGTTCCAAAATTCCCCGTTTACAAATTTTAAAAATTGTCAAAGTATTCAAAAGTTTTATAATTCCAAGAATATTTAGATTTTCCATTTTTTCAAAAATTCCATACTTTCATTTTTTTAAATATGTATTCAAAATTTCCTTAATTTTCAAAATATTTACAATTATCAATATTTTAAACATTTTGACTTTGCCAAAACATATATTTAAATAATTTTCAAGTTTTATCAAATCTAGAAAATTTAATATTGTGACGATTTCCAAATTTTTCAAAATCTCCAAAATTCTCAAAAATAAAACTCAATTTTCGAAAATTCCGTGTTTTTTAAAAATAACCAAAATTTTCAAGTTTCAAATATCCAAAATTTTCATTATTTAAATTTTTCAAAACTTTAAATTCATGAATTTTCTCAAATTTTTCAAAATTTACGGGTCCCAAAATTCCTCGTTTTCAAAATTTTAAAAATTGTCAAAGTATTCAGAAGTTTTATAATTCCAAGAATATTTAGATTTTCCATTTTTTCAAAAATTCCATACTTTCATTTTTTTAAACATGTATTGAAAATTTGTTCAATTTTCAAAATATTTACAATTATCAATATTTTAAACATTTTGACTTTGCAAAAAAGTATATTTAAATAATTTTCAAGTTTTTTCAAATCTAGAAAATTTAATAATGTGACGATTACCAAATTTTTCAAAATCTCCAGTTATCAAAAATAAAACTCAATTTTCGAAACTTCCGAGTTTTTTAAAAATAACCAAAATTTTCAAGTTTCAAATATCCAAAATTTTCGTTATTTAAATTTTCCAAAAATTTAAATTTATGAATTTTCTCAAATTTTTCAAAATTTAAGCGTCCCAAAATTCCTCGTTTACGAAATTTTAAAAATTGTCAAACTATTCAGAATTTTTATAATTCCAAGAATATTTCGATTTTCCATTTTTTTCTAATTTTTGCATTTTCAAAATTCTTCCAATAATTTTTTTGACCGCAACATATCTAGAACGAGTAATTCTGGACAATCAGAAAAATATACCTACCCTGGTGGCGTCCTGTCTCTGCGACCTCGTCCATAGTCCCTCCTTGATCCCGGAGGATAAGTGGGATTGAACTGAGGAGGACCACCCATCGGAGGTCTACTCGCATCGAACATTGGCCTCGGTTGCATCGGAAACGGTCTGCATGAAAAAAATCCAATAATGCTTAATTTGCTCTCAAAAAGACAGCCTTATATGTTAGCAAGACGTGTAACATTATCGGCGTTAAATGGTATCATGCAATGAAAAGGCATGCAGTGTGAGTAGCAGGGTCTAAAGAAAAAGCATTTTTTTTGTGGAAAAATTGCAATATAATAAAATAAAATATCCAAATTGTCGGCATCACATCATTTTTCCCGAAACGCAGCATAACTCAAACACCTGTCATTCTTTTACTTTTCAACATTTTTTGATAATTAACGCTCAAAGCTCTATAGCTTCGCCCATAATTATTAATCTCTTATATTTTCTTCAACATCCCTTGCAACGTCATCAGTTCGTAAAAAAAGCGACGAACATGATAACAAAATCTCTAAAAACACAACTACACTACAGCTACGAATGTTAGAGGAGCTAATACAAGAATCAGCATGCACATTCCTCACGGATAATGTTACAATCATACCCTGGAGGCATATAAGGCGGCGGTGCGGCAACGCCGGGGGGCGGTAACCTGAAATTGGGCTGCGGCGGACCCTGCGTGGGCGGGTAACTGTTCATCGGAGGCGGCAGGCCGCCTGGACTAGAGTACGTCGTCGGAATGGTCTGTTGAAAGAAACAAATATATCTATCAAAATGAATACTAAGTATTTGTTAATAATTCTTATTACGCTTGAACGATACATTTTTGCGAATTTTCCAAAGCGTAATCATGATATTAAAAAAATTAAACAAATGTGGTACACTCAAATGATTAAATAATCGATCCCAAATTGTAAAATTATCAAGTCATTACGAGGGAGGTCCGATAAGTCCTTAGCCTCACCGTACCATGTCATCACTATCGTCAGAGAAAATTTCATGATTTCGAAGACATTCGAATTTTTAAAATTTTACAAAATTATAAAATATTTTCATAATTTTCGTAATATTCCAAAAATTCGTATTTTAATATTTCCATTATTTAAAAATTTGCAATTTCTATCAATTTTCTTTCTTGATAAATTTCATAATTTGCAATATTTTCAGAAGTTGCATTTTTTTAGAGTTTTGAAAATTTCATAATCAAAATTTTCAAGTTTCATTTTTTTTTTAGATTTACGAAAATTTCATGATTCATTCTATCAGTTTTCTAAAATTTGGGTTTTCAAAAATTTCATACTATTTAATATTTTCTAGTTTCGTTTTTTGAAATTAACGAAAATATGATTTTCAGGATTTCCATTTCCAAAATTATCAAAGATTTCATAGCTTTCACAATTTTCAATTTGGCAATTTTTAAAATTCAAAGTTTTAAAAAATGTTGCAATATTTTCAAAAGCTGCCACTTTCCGAAAATGTTTGTTTTTCTTTTGTAGGTTAAGTACTTACCGGAAGGTCCTCTTATATTTCAAATAAATTAAATATAAACACCCCAAGGAAGGCCCGAGTCTATAACAACGATTTAATAAACTTGAGCCAAAATTATTTTTGGGCAAATAGGGAAAAATAATGAAAATAAGTTGTTTCAAAGTACTTTATTTCCATATTCAAGGAAAAAACAATCCAAATTGATAAAAGTAAAAAATCATAAAAAATGTATTATCATAATTTTCGAAGTTTTCGTAATATTCCAAAATTTCTTTTTTTTAATATTTTCATAACTTACAAAATTTGAAATTTCTATATTTTTTTTAATAAATATTCAAAATTTTCAAGTTTCATTATTTAAAATTTACGATATTTTCATGATTTTCAGGATTTATATTTTTTTTAAATTCAGAAAATTATGAAAAATATATATTCATAATTGTATAAGTTTTCGTAATATTCCAAAATTTGGTAATTTTCAATATTTTCATAATTTACAAAATTTTCAATATCTATCAATTTTCTAAAATTTGAGTTTTAAAAATTTTGTAATTTGCAATATTTTCAGAAGTTGCATTTTTTTTTGAAGTTTCAAAAATTTGATAACATTTAATATTTTCTGTTTTTATTATTTGAAATTTACGAAAATATGATTTTCAGGATTTCAATTTTTTTTAAATATCCAAAATTATCAAAGCCCAATTTTCAATTTGGCAATTTTTTAAAATTCAAAGTTTCAAAAAATTTCATAATTTGCAATATTTTCAAAGGTTGCCACTTTCCGAAAATGTTCATTTTTCTTTTGTAGGTTAAGTACTTAAGGGAAGATCATCTTATATTTCAAATAAATTAAACACAGGGGTACCTCAAGGATCAGTATTAGGCCCGATTATATTCACAGTCTATATCAAGAATATATTAAACTTGAACCAAAATTATTTTTGGGCAAATAGTGAAAAATAATGAAAATAAGTTGTTTCGAAGTTCTTTATTGCCATATTCAAGGAAAACAGTCCAAATTGATAAAAATAAAAAATTATAAAAAACATATTTTCATAATTTTTCGAAATATTCCAAAATTTCGTTTTTTTTATATTTTCATAACTTACCAAATTTGCAATTTCTTTAAATTTTTTTAATAAATTTCATAATTTGCAATATTTTCAGAAGTTGCATTTTTTGATTTCGAAAATTTCATAATATCCCAAATTTTCAAGTTTCATTTTTTAAATTTACGAACATTTCATGATTTTCAAGATTTCTATTTTTTTTAAAAATTCCCAAAATTATGAAAAACATATTTTCATAATTTCAGTAGTTTTCGTAATATTTCGTAATATTCGTAAAATTTGGCAATTTTCAATATTTTCATAATTTACAAAATTTTCAATATCTATCAATTTACTAAAATTTCATATTTAATATTTTCTAGTCTCGTTTTTTGAAATTTACGAAAATATGATTTTCAGGATTTCCAATTTTTTTAAATATCCAAAATTATTAAAGATTTCATAGCTTTCACAATTTTCAATTTGGCAATTTTATAAAATTCTAAATTTTAAAAAAATTCATAATTTGCAATATTTTCAAAAGTTGCCACTTTCCGAAAATGTTCGTTTTTCTTTTGTAGGTTAAGTACTTATCAGAAGACATTCTTATATTTCAAATAAATTAAATATAAACACAGGAGTACCTCAAGGATCAGTATTAGGCCCGATTCTATTCATAGTCTATATCAACGATTTAATAAACTTGAGCCAAAATTATTTTTGGGCAAACAGCGAAAAATAATGAAAATAAGTTGTTTCGAAGTTCTTTATTGCCATATTCAAGGAAAAACAGTCCAAATTGATAAAAATAAAAAAAAACACGATTTAATCGATAAAAAAAATTTTTTTTGATTAAAAAAAATCGTGATTTTCTGCAACACCGGGTCAAATAATAGAATTATTATTCGCGAAAAGAATGTTACCTGCAACTGTGAAGCAACTCCGCCTATGACAGGAGGTATAGTGCCGGGAGGTGGAGCTGAACTATTATATTCTGCAGACCTAGCAAAGTGTGACCTAGACGGCTCGTCCACAGTTGGTGTAAGAGATCTCCCTTCACTGTAACGGCAAAGAACATCAAGAAAAAATCATAAATTGAAGTATTGGTTGGTTTATTATCGTCGATATCTTACCGTGGCTCCTTGTAAGTTGGTGACCTATTCGACCTTGAACTTCTTCTCGGCGAATCTTCTCGATCTTTATCCCTGTATTTATGCTTACTAGACCCTAAAATAGACCAATATCAGACATTCACGAAATTGACAAAAATTTTAAATTTTCAATATTTTCGAAAAATCGTCTATGCATCTACTTTACGAGACTCACTTTCTCTATGTTCCCTAGGTGGAGTCAGCCTTCGTGTTTTCTCTTTAGGCGAGTTTCTAGGCGACACACCGGGTGGACCCTCCTCAGAGATAAATTTGCGTCCCTCATCTTTGTCAGCATCCTGAAATAAAAAAATAATTATTGAATTGTACCATACAAAAACCTTTGTTGTAATAATCGAATAAACGCCTGAAATACCTGATTATTCTTAGTGTGTTCTGTAGAATCAGCTTCAGAAATAACTGTTCCATGCTCTGCTGGTAGCTTTTCTGTCGATTCTGGCACTTGAGGTGGACTTTTCTGCAAAGATAAAAAAATGATATCGACGACCAATGTTTCAGTATTAGTAGACAGATTGTAAAACCGTTTCATTTGGAATGAAAACGTTTTACTTTTATAGTTCACCCTTGAGGGCTGAGTGCAGATCAATTCTCAGATTTCAAATAAATATTTCCAATAGATTGAGAATTTTTAGGATGTTTTTTCAGTAATCCTCGGAATTTTCAACATTTTGAAAATATTCAGGTTTTTGAAATTTTAGTCGATTTCAAGATATTTCAAAAATCTCAGTTGCCAAAATTTTCTAAATATTCAACATTTCCAAGATATTTAGAGTTTAGTTTTTCGGTATTTTCAGTTTTCAAAATTTTCGAGGTTCCAAGTGCTTCCAACTATTGAAAATTTTGATAATATTCAAAGTTTTAAAAAATTTCTGAATTTAGGAACTTTAAAAATTCCTCAAAATTCACAGTTTTCGAGATATTAAGATTTTCCAAAATATTGGATGTTTGTCAAGTTTAAAAATTTTTCAACATTGAAATGAAAATAACTCAATTTCCTAAAGTGTTTTCATTTTCAAATTCTTAAACATTTTCGAAATTTTTGCGATTTAAAGAGATTGCAAAATTTTTCAATATTGTTTTAAAAATTTTCACAATATTCTAAATCTTTCAAATCATTTAAATTTTTCATGTTTTTGCGTTTTTAAGAACTTTCAGAATTTTCGTATTTTTAAAAATTCTCGGATTTCATAATTTTCAAAATTTTCGAGGTTTGAGGAGCTCCCAATTTTTCAAAAAATAAAAAAAACAGTTTTCAAGTTTCAAAATCCTCAAAATTTTCAGTTTTCAAAATACTTTTCAAAATTTTCAAAGCTTACAAAAATTTCCGGATTTTAGCAACTTTCAAAATGTTGAAAATTATCTGGTTTCAAGATTATGAAAATACCCAAAATATTGAATTTTTTCAGACATTTTAAGAACTTAAAATTTTCAACATTGAAAGGCGGATCACTCAATTTCCCAAGTTTTTAGTTTTCATTTCCAGATTCTTCAAAATTTTCCAAGGGTTAAAAATTTTTGCGATTTCAACGCATAGATTGCAAAAATTTTCAAAATTCATCCGTTTCAAACACAAACAAATTTCAAGAAAACCGTGTCGTTAGAGACTAAATCACTATGATGCTTTCAAAGTTTAAAAATACACAAAATGTTAGAAAAAAGTATTGTTCAAAAAGAAAGATAACAGAGAATTTCTACAGACTTTTATGTTTTTTGCTTTTTAAGAACTTTCAGAATTTTCGTATGTTTAAAAATTCTTAGATTTCATGATTTTCAAAATTTTTGGAGTTTGAGGAGCTCCTAATTTTTCAAAAAATAAAAAAAACAGTTTTCAAGTTTCAAAATCCTTAAAATTTTCAGTTTTCAAAATACATATTTTCAAAATTTTCAATATATTCAAAGCTTACAAAAATTTCCGGATTTTAGCAACTTTCAAAATGTTGAAAATTATCTGGTTTCAAGATTATGAAAATACCCAAAATATTGAATTTTTTCAATATTTTAGACATTTCAAGAACTTATAATTTCATGAAAGGCAGATCACTTAATTTTTCAAGCTTTCAGTTTCCATTTCCAAATTCTTCAAAATTTCCAAAATATTCCAGGTGTTAAAAATTTTTGCGAGATTGCAAAAATTTTCAAAGTTCTTTTTTCAAAATTTTCAAATTAAGTGTCGAGATTTTAAGAATTTTCGTATTTTTCAAGGTTCAAGGGTTGCAATATTAATTTTTCAAGGGTCTGCTGAAAATTTACAATTTTAAAAAATTATTGTACAAGCCGCTCACCTGAGGAATTGCAGTATACCTAGAAGGCCTATCAATAGGTTTTTTTACATATCCAGTTGTGTTTTTGAACTTGCCTACTGATGTCCTTATAAACCTGAAACAAAAAATTTAATAAATCCAAAATCCATTAAAATATGCTGCAATAATATATTTCTAGTTTTTCAACACATCTTACCTATTAGGAATGAGTGTGTCGGGTGAAATATCCTTCTCATGACAATCAGGACATTCATGGTCCTCACTTTCCAAAAGCACACTTCTGATACACTCATCACAAAAGCTGTTGCCGCAGCATGGAATCATCACAGCATCCGTCAACAGATCATTGCAAATGCTGCAGATTAAGTCTTCTGGAATTTCCGGTTTTGGCTCAGCTGCTGGGGCCGGAGGAACCTAAAACAATAAAAAGATTATACAATATACTTTGTAATCATATTGTTTGAAAATAAAAAAATACATCAAATCTGATTAGGATTTATTTACCATTTGGTTATAAGCCTGATGATCTAGAAGTGGTACAGCGTACTGTCCATTTGGCGTCATCATTGCTCCTGGTACTTGGGGACCATCAACAGGTACCATGAAACTTTTAGGAATACCAGTACTCTTCTTTATTTCTATCGGGTCCTACAACCAGGAATCTCCATAGAATTAACAAAATTTCTATCCCATATTTGTCTTATATTGAACCATCTAACTCTGCTCCAGTATATTACAATTTTTTATACACGCGAATTTGAAAAAAACCATCATCGGTACAGAAAGAAATCCAAACAATCCAAAAAAAGTTCCAAGGTATGTAGCAGATTTTCTAGCAAGTTTTAGCACTTGTTTCAAATTAGTTTGCATCATATATTTTTTTTACTTACAGGTCCTAGAGAAAATGTACAATCCTTAATCCAATGACCTCCTTGATGACACTTGTAGCACTTGTAATTAGGAGGCACTGGTCCCATTTGATTTGCACCTCTTATCTTCTGGTAACTGAAAAAAAAAATCACAATAAAATAATTAACTATAATCAACACAGACTCATATAAAATGTTTTTTACTGTGAAACATTTTTGCAATTTACTTGATCAACAAATAATAGTTTCAATGATTCCTCAACCAAAATCATTCAGTTTGTTCTATAAAATTATTCACAAAATTGCATTTTTATACAACATCAAAAAGCTGTCCATCAATTTCGTTATTCTCCTAACAATTGAGGGATCATACTATTAAAAATCGGAACATACTTGCTAGGATCATAATCCTGAGTGGACTGTGACATCATAGCCTTGATTTTATCATCTTCAGGAGCATCTAGACTGGACAAATCTGTTGCTTTTGTTATGGGTCCTCCTTCATCCAATTTAGCTGGTGGGGTATTGTCGCCACTATACCCTTCCCACTGTTTCTGCTTTTGAGCAATCACTGGTATCCGAGCTATGAGCAGGGAGGTGTTCTTTGGAATGAGAACATTCTCATCTTGATATACTGGAAAGAAGGACAAACTCAACGGTATTAGGTGAGAAAATTAATATTGGAAGAATAAACAGATTTTCGATGTTTAAGCTTTGAAAATAGTTTACAATTATGTATGTCTTCTGCTGTCTGAACAAGTAGATTGTGATACAATATCTTTTATTCAAATTGCTTTGCAGATATGAAATGTCAATAGGTAAATGCAGATTTACATAAGCGAAAGAAAGATATACTTGAGGAAATAACGAAAGCCACAAATTTTATATTAATGTTGTGTGGTATTTTATTACCGATTTACTGAGACAAAGCTGACATCAATCAATAGACTGATAAAAATATTGCAAAAAATGTGTTTTCAAGTTCCTAACATCAATTTCTAACACAAATTTCAATAAGATGGTGTCGTTAGAGGGTAAATCACTATGATGCTTTCAAAGTTTAAAAATACACAAAAAGTTAGAAAAAAGTATTGTTCAAAAAGAAAGATAACAGAGAATTTCTACAGACTCTTATTATAGCATTTATTCAATACATGTATCATACAATTCTTATAGATATGAAACAAATTATTGTCAATATAGCAAATAATTTAACATAACAAATGTGATACTATCAATTTGCACTTTTTGGTCAGATAGAAAATTAATATTGGAAGAATAAAGAGATTTTCGATGTTTAAGCTTTGAAAATGGTTTACAATTATGTATGTCTTCTACTGTCTGAACAAGTAGATTGTGATACAATATCTTTTATTCAAATTGCTTTGCAGATATGAAATGTCAATAGGTAAATGCAGATTTACATAAGCAACAGAAAGATATACTTGAGGAAATAATGAAAGCCACAAATTTCATATTAATGTTGTGTGGTATTTTATTACCGATTTACTGAGACAAAGCTGACATCAATCAATAGACTGATAAAAATATTGCAAAAAAATGTGTTTTCAAGTTCCTAACATCAATTTCAAACACAAACAAATTTCAATAAAATGGTGTCGTTAGAGGGTAAATCACTATGATGCTTTCAAAGTTTAAAAATACACAAAATGTTAGAAAAAAGTATTGTTCAAAAAGAAAGATAACAGGGAATTTCTACAGACTTTTATTATAGCATTTATTTAATACATGTATCATGCAATTCTTATAGATAAGAAAAAAAATAATTGTGAATATAGCAAATAATTTGACATAACAAATGTGATACTATCAATTTGCACTTTACCAGGTAGCGTCAGCAATGAATCATGAAAAATCTACAGGATGTTCAGTGATGGTACTGGATTTCAGGAATGGTTGGAAAAGTTGTGATTTGTGACTAAGTAAAGAACAATATATGATGAAAATACTCTTAAATTATGGAGGCTAAATTAGTACTTACTAGCTACAAAAGAAACAGTGTTTACCATTTACTGATCATTCGGTCAGAGTCTATGGATTTCTGAATAACCTCATAAATCAATAATTACTGAAATCCAGGCTACATGGTCAATAAATATCGCATTTCACGAAATAAAGTAAATTCTGATTGTGTAACATGGCCATTCTTCGTTATACGCACAAGGATGGTACAAGTTATCGCAACCCCTATGCTTAGGAGACATCCCTGTTAAACTGGTTGAAAAGCATGAAAATATGACTCACCTTCTTTAGTCTGAGCGTTCGTAACTTGCAAATCGAAATCTGTACTTTTCCCTATCCGCTTTTGCTGGATGATGGCATTTTTCAGGTCCTTCACAGAGATATGCAGACCGTCAAAAGTAACCGTATCATATTCCAGTGCAGATTTGAACTTGTAATGTACAGACATAATATGTTACGCGCACAACTCACTGAAAACAACGAGAAATATGTAATACAAACAGCGGTTCTCTTCGAAAAAGCGTACACGAGACACACACACACCAAATCGAAATGCCGACAGATTATCGCAAATAAATCACCTTTTATAACGTTCTGTACCAAAAATAAAAACAGCAAGAGGTCGTTCTAAGCAAAACCCTTGCTAGAAAGTTTGTTTTCTTTATAATATGGCATAATTCATCGTATTTTCGGCAAAAAATTCACACGAGAAAGTGTTATGCGTCGCCATTTCACCGCTACTAGCGCCATCTAGACTTGACATGACAATTAACATGTCAAATATAAACAGTGTTGCCGTGCTTACAGATCAATTTTCCTAAGACGCAGGAAGTGGCTACTGAACCGAACTCATTTACCTATCGTGTCCATTAAGCGCAAAATGACGGACTGTGATGAAACGTTATCTATCAACAAATATTTTTATTTTACCAAAAGAGGTTAGCGAAAAAGCACATGATTGTTTGAATATAGGAATGTGGCATCTAAAGAGTTTGGAATTCCTTCAAACGGTTTATTCAGAGCTCAAATACGCTCCTAAAATGTATTCAAATCTCATTTACTCCGCATCGAAGCGGCGATCGAATGCTTATATTTGTTTTGACGCGAAGTATATAACAATAGATTCTGAATCCTTGAATCAAGTTAATCCAAGAGAAACGCTAAACCCAACACACCGCAGATTGCAAAAAAGCTGTTGTTACAGGATTTCTCCGACACATTTATTCTCCCGGGAAATTTGCTAATAATGATATTGTTAAATGTATGTTTTTATTTGAACTACCTTGGAAAACGCAGTGATGGCAACCAAAACATCGATAAGGTCCAACAATTGGTATCTAGAAACATCTCTCTAAAAAGGAAACTCAAAGAATATTTTATTTGTCAAAATTTACTTAAAAAAAGAATATCACTGCAAATAATATTTCTTTGTTTATTGAAAAATTTGATCCGAGTTTCAAGACAAGTAATACAAATTGGGATGAATACTGACAAAAAAATGCGAAAACTTACCCATGAAATCAGAAATTTACAAAATAAGCACGATAAACTGCACTCTACTGCACAGAAAGAACTAATAATGATACACACCAGGTCTAGTACCCGAATGATGTTAAAACCAATGTTATGACCTGTCTCCTACTAGGAGTCCTTTTTGTTACCTGGGAAATGGGTAGTTGATGGGTTCAGAAAATTCCTCACTAATTATAGTATTGTATTAATTCCTAGAACAAAATTATAATCTCCCAGTAAAAATATAGACCAAGCCAGCTAACCGAAAATCGATCTTTAACTTTTGGTTATAATTGCAGATTTATCGCTCTGTATTATCCAATAAACAAATATGTAAATGTAGAATCGACGATTTTTGACGTTTTTCTTTTTTGTAATAACAAATTTACCGTTACGCCGCGAATTGTCCCATTTTGATGTTTTTTTAGCCCCAAAATGTTTTTTACATTTTTTCGCTTATCTTCTAGTCCTAGTCTAATATCGAAAATTTTGAAGGGCGATTTGGTAATATTGACATTTAACTACGAATCCTACAAAAAATGTATGCTTTTATTTTAACATATAAAATAAAGACCAGCCTAGCTAACAAAAAATCGATCTTTATAAGTTTTGATTATTATTGAAGATTTACCACTATGCCTTTTCCAGTAAAAAATAAATGTGGAAATCAACGTTTTTTGACTTTTTTCTGCAATAAAAAATTATTTGTTAGTGGTGAAATGTCTCATTATGATGACATTTTTATCCCCAAAAAAGTTTTTGGGACTACTTATCCTATCAGTTCATACCTATTTGGATATACACAAAAAGTGAGTTTTATAATTTTAGGATACTTTTTTTATATCTCTCGATGAGCTGCCCTTTTCGCATATATTCTAGGTATCTAAAATTTCGAGAGGCAATTAGCTCATATTGACATTTAGCTACTAATGATTCAAAAAACGTATGCTTGCATTTTAACTACCTTGAAAAATGCTGCCATGACAACCAGGATATCAATCAGGGTCTACAATTAGTATCAACACCTTTCCATCACGAAATATAAGAAAAATCTTTCCGACGTCAAACTGTACATTAACAAAATTTGGATATAGGCTACAAATAGCTATTTCTCTGTTGAGAAATCTAATGCAAGTTCAAATTAAAATCAAATAACACAATCTGGGATGAATAATGAAAAAGATCGTAAAGCTGCCATTGATTACACTTACCTCCAAGAAAGCGGAAATTTACAACAACACAACCTTAATATCGACACACAGTTGTACACAAGTTACAAATTCATGATTTTACGTGTGTCCTACCAGAGGTCCTTTTTGCTACCTGTGCCAAATACCTGTAAAATCCGCATTTAATCCATTCCCGATAATCTTGGCTTTTCGACCATAGTTATGGTATTAAATCAGCTCCTAAAAAATCGCTCAATCAGAAGACCACGAACGAATAGCTTAAGTCTCATTTAAATCATGCCCTCCCAAGAAATGCTAAGATAACCATTATTGTATTATCATTTTGAAAACATAGGTAATAAAGAGGTGTTTCTGGTGGATAGCAGCATGTGAGTGAAATAACACAAAGAACTCAATTGAAAAAGGTTGGTTCAGTAGACACTCCCTATATTTGTAGCTTAGTAGCAGATACAGCAACTTTGAACTGCTGGCAACAGCGCACAATACCAACATTGACACTACGGAGTGCCAATCATGCGCTCCTAAAGTCCCTAAGTTTGATTCAAAATAGTTTACCTTTTAAATATTCATCTAATTTTCCTCATCGTATTGAATCGCAGATTTTATAAGCTGCGCCGATTGAAATTTTTACTGCTATATAGCGCAAAAATCAATACATGGTCGGTGAAAAAGGATGTTTTTTTGAAGCATGAAAAATTAGATCGACACCATGTACGTCTCCCCAGAAACAAGCAAAGAAATTTGACAAAAAGCGGACATTTCTGTCTGGCCTTCGAGTTTTTATGAATTTCTGGTGTTGTCGAGCTCCGAATTTGCCTTCTCGTTCAAACGCTTGTTAACATTCAACGCAACAATTTAACGATCATTTAAAAAAATATATTAACTTTCGAGAAAGATGGCGACTTTCAAAATACGCGAAGATGCCGAAAATATCAGGCCCTACGAGAACAAAATGAAGAAAGTCACTGCAGCGGAGCCGAACGAGAAGAAAAAGAAGAATTTTTTGGACAATAAGGCGAAGGTCCAGGGGTTGAAGGTTGAGGTGTCCAACAAAATGAAACCAGGTGCGAAGAACGCGAGGATTGTGAAGAATAAGGAAAACCAAAAACCTAAACAGGTAAAAGTTAATAATTGCTAGTTATTTTACACGCAAGATATGACCGCCATTTTATGGATCCTCGCTTGTTACACAACGAATTTTTGTCTTGCGAAAAAGCGAATTTTTGATTTACGCCCAGAGAAAACATCATTTTTTTTAGCGCAAAATCGAGGTTGAAAAATTGAAGCATCAAAATTTTGATTTTCGCACAAAACTACAAACAATGATGTTTTATATAAAAAATACATTTGCTAACGTATTGAGTTTTTATTACGAAACTTATTAAAATTACTCTAGAAATCGCACCAAAAAATGAAACATTATATATTTACCTAAATATCGTCCATATTCAGAAGTATTTAATTGAAATTAACATACACCAGTGGCGGAGATGCAGCGATTAGTGGCATTATTTTTCCAAATAAAAATAGTAGGTACGCGGTTTTAGGTTCTGAAAATAACTCAGTTATCAAGATGAAATTTTTGAATTTGTATTAGAATTGTATTTTGAATCTTCATCGACCCTTTTCTTTTTATTTCAGTGCTTGATTGCTTTTAAAAAGCGCAAAGTCCAAAATTCACCAATTTTCGAATATCCGATTTAAGCGCCTACAAGAGAATGATTTGAAAAACAAATTTGTCAAAAAAAATCAATTGAAAAGTTTTGATGATTCTAGTATCGAAAATCTGAGCTGAAATTCTAATTACTTCACCGTATAGAAGAGAAAAAATGGTAATGTTATTGAGTAATTTGTTTGAAATTTGTCGACATTGTGGATGTTTGAAAAGTTTTGTCTCGGACTAAAGCTAGAAAAAATAAAAACGACTTAGAGTAAATCCGGAAATACTTTGGATTTTCAAACTTTCCAAGTTCCATTTTCTATTTACCTGCGCAACTGTACCCCCATTAGCTACTCCATGTTTTTAGTCAACAAGATTACTATTTACTGTATATTTATCAAGAGATTTATATGTAAATTTTATACCGCATGTAAATAATATCAGTAAGAGTTGTTTTTCAATTTTACGTCAATTATTTCTTAACAAACAATTTCTTGAAAAAAATTTTGTGTGAATGTTTGGTCCAAATTAGTTATTATTATCTTCCATTTCTTGACTCAATATCTCTGACACGTCTCCAGAAAATTCAAAACTTACGTTGTCAATAATTTGAAAAAATCGGCTTCGAAATTGTGTAACAGAAAATACGCTATAGAGCAACTCCGCAGAAACTACACGTATGAACATATCTTTTTAGAGGGAAGTTAAAGAGCCCTTGAATCATGTCTCAAAAGACCTTCTTGTGCAGTTGGCAGAAACCACAGCAGATTTGGAGAAACCAGAAAAGAAAACCGAGAAGGAAAATAAAGTAGATTTTTCACTAGATCTACTCCATAACCATGAATACAGATTGGTGAGTTGCTTTTGGTATTCGTAAAAATGGTGTTTACTCAGAAACAGCGGCAATATTTTTTAAGCAGAAGCAAAATATTTGTAGACAGAGAAAAAGACCTAAAATGAAAATAATAGAAATAGTTCACACTTCGTTTTTTGAGATAAAAAACCTGGGGTTTGTCTTACTTTTTTATGCTTTTTTACGTAAAAATGAAACTCTACAGGACATCGTGAATTACCTCAAGGATTTAGAGGCGACTTACCCGCGACCGAAACCAAACTACATGTCATTGCAATCCGACCTCAGCTGGGCGACCAGGAGCATCCTCATTGATTGGTTGGCCAGCGTTAGTGACGAATACAAGTTTGCAGATGAGAGTTTCCATCTATCTGTCAATTATATCGACAGATTTCTCAGCCAGATATCAGTGGTAAGTGAAGCATTTTTTAGAGAATTTAGAGAATTTAGAGAATTTAGAGAATTTAGAGAATTTAGATAGATTTAGAGAATTAGAGAATTTAGAGAATTTAGAGAATTTAGAGAATTTAGAGAATTTAGAGAATTAGAGAATTTAGAGAATTTAGAGAATTAGAGATTAGAGATTTAGAGATTTAGAGATTTAGAGAATTTAGGGAATTTAGAGAATTTAAGAGAATTTAGAGAAGTTAGAGAATTTTAGAGAATTTAGAGAATTTAGAGAATTTAGAGAATTTTAGAGGAATTTAGAGAATTTAGAGAATAGAGAATTCGGAGGAATTTATAGAATTAGAGATAGAAATTAGGGAATTTAGAGAATTTAGAGAATTTAGAGAATTTAGAGAATCTTAGAGATTTAGAGAATTTAGAGAATTTAGAGAATTTAGAGATTTAGAGAATTCGGAGAATTTATAGAATTAGAGAATTTAGAGAATTAGAGAATTTAGAGAATTTATAGAATTTAGAGAATTTAGAGAATTTAGAGAATTTAGAGAATTTGGAGAATTTAGAGAATTTAGAGAATTTAGAGAATTTAGAGAATTTAGAGAATTTAAAGAATTTAGAGAATTTAGAGAATTTAGAGAATTTAGAGAATTTAGAGAATTTAGAGAATTTAGAGAATTTAGAGAATTTAGAGAATTTAGAGAATTTAGAGAATTTAGAGAATTTAGAGAATTAGAGAATTTAGAGAATTCGGAGAATTTATAGAATTAGAGAATTTAGGAATTTAGAGAATTTAGAGAATTTAGAGAATTTAGAGAATTTAGAGAATTTAGAGAATTTAGAGATTTAGAGAATTTAGAGAATTTAGAGGATTTAGAGAATTTAGAGAATTTAGAGAATTTAGAGAATTTAGAGCATTTAGAGAATTTTTGATTTTTGACCCGGTCAGGCATGAAAACCCCAAGATAATTTTGTCCTACAAGTGTGTATCTCATCTGAACGAATACACGTTTCCCGTGCGAACTTGGTGCGCAGATTCCGAATCAATTTTTTTCTCAGCTCAACGCGACGGAAATATTTTTCTATATTCTCAAAACCGATGCTTCTTTTGACACTTTCTGTCTTCTTGTCTAGGTGCGCTCCAAGTTCCAGCTTGTTGGCGCCGCTGCGATGATGATCGCTACCAAAATGGAGGAGTACTATCCGTTGGACGCCACGGAATGGTCGTATTTGACGGGAGACGCTTTCACCTCCGGTCAGGTGCTCAAAATGGAGAAACTCATCTTGAAAGTATTGAACTTTATTACCAGACCGCCGACGATCAGCGAGTTCATCAAACGGTTCTGCTCGATCGCTGAAATCGATCGGGCTACGGAGTGTTTTGCTATGGTGAGTGAACTGTAACGGAATATCGGAAAATTCCGGAAATCCGGAGAGTTCGAAATACTCTGAAAATTCGCACAGTCCGGATGATGCAAATAACTCAGGAATTTTATGATATTTGGACAATTTAAAAAAATAGAAATTTCAGAATGTTTGGATAATTCCGAAAGTTTCGATAATTTAGAAAGTGGAAAAAAGTTATCAAAACTATGAAGCTTACGAAGATTCGGGACATTCAGAAAATTTAGGAAATTCGTAAGAGCTTGGAATTTCGTAAATCGAGCACTTAGAGAATGTAAAGAATTTAGTAAATTTAGAGCATTTGGAACATTTGGAGAATTTAGAAAATTTAGAGAATTTACAGAATTCACACAATTTATAAAAATTACAGAACTTAGAGAATTAAAAGAATTTCGAGCACTTAGAGAATGTAGAGAATTCACAGAGTTCGCAAAATTTAGAGACTGTAGAGAATACGGAGAATTAAGGGGATTTAGAGAGTTTATCGACTATCGACTCGGGAAAATTGAGAGAATTTAGTGAATTTAGGAAATTTAGAGACTTTGGAGAATTTGGAGAATTAGAGAAGTTATAGAATTATAGAATTTGGAGAATTTAAAGAATTTGGAGAATTTAGAAAATTTGGAGTATTTCGAGAATTTAGTTAATTTAGAGGATTTACAGATAATAGAGAATTAAGGGAATTTAGGTAATTTCGAGACTTTAGAGAATTTAGAGAATTCAGAGAATTCAGAGAATTCAGAGAATTTAGAAAATTTAGAGAATTTAGAGAATTTTGGAGAATTTAGAGAATTTATGGAATTTAGAGAATTTAGAGAATTTAGAGAATTTAGAGAATTTAGAGAATTTAGAGAATTTAGAGAATTTAGAGAATTTAGAGGATTTAGAGAATTTAGAGAATTTAGAGAATTTAGAGAATTTAGAGAATTTGGAGAATTCAGAGAATTTTGGAGAATTTAGAGAATTTATGGAATTTAGAGATTTAGGAAATTTAGAGAATTTAGAGAATTTAGAGAATTTAGAGAATTTAGAGAATTTAGAGAATTTAGAGAATTTAGAGAATTTAGAGAATTTAGAGAATTTAGCGAATTTAGAGAATTTAGAGAATGTAGAGAATTTAGAGAATTTAGAGAATTTAGAGAATTAGAGAATTTAGGAATTTAGAGAATTTAGAGAATTTAGAGAATTTAGAGAATTTAGAGAATTTAGAGAATTTAGAGAATTTAGAGAATTTAGAGAATTTAGAGAATTTAGAGAATTTAGAGATTTAGAGAATTTAGAGAATTTAGAGAATTTAGAGAATTTAGAGAATTTAGAGAATTTAGAGAATTTAGAGAATTTAGAGAATTTAGAGAATTTAGAGAATTTAGAGAATTTAGATAGAGACTTTAGAGAATTTTGAGAATTTTGAGAATTTTGAGAATTTTGAGAATTTAGAGAATTTAGAGAATTTAGAGAATTTAGAGAATTTAGAAAATTTAGAGAATTTAGAGAATTTAGAGGACTTTAGAGAATTTAGAGAATTTAGAGAATTTAGAGAATTTAGAGAATTTAGAGAATTTGAAGAATTTAGAGATTTCAGATCATTCAGAGTATTTAAAGGATTTATAGAATTAAGAGAATTTGGAAAATTTAAGAAACTTAGAGAATATAGAGCATTTAGAGAATTTAAAACACTTAGAGAATTTAAAGGATTTATAGAATTGCTTAGAGAATTTAGTGAAAAGAATTTCTGAAATCTGATTCATATTATACTTTCAGTACATCAGCGACTTGGTGCTATTGGAAGGCAGCGACTACGTAGAGCAGTTTCCTTCAAAATTGGCGGCCGCTTCGATTGCATTGGCGAGATACAACGTGCGAAAGGACAAAAAGGCACCGTGGCCGACGAAGCTGAAACAACTCAGCGGATATACATTGAAAGAACTAAGTCCCGTCATCAAACGGTAAGATTTTTTTGTTCCTGTGTCATATCGTAAAGTCGGAGTTATATTTTTGTTTTTTCAATGGAAAACCTGACGATTTGAATATTTTGGAATTGTATAAAAGTTTTTTGAACCACGCATTACTTTTGTTGAACCGCATAATCAGTCCAACTTTTCGGGTTTTTTTAATCCGTTATCTACATTTTCACTTATATACCGCGTGTAACAAAAGTAACGGACGGCTCTGTATTTTTTCTGGTACGGTATTTTAAAAAAGTCAAGGTCAAAAGTTACCTCGACATGATTTCGAGTACGAGGTTCAAGGTTGAATCCAAGGTCACCACTGGAATCTTTCACATCAATAATCACGGAATACTTCTGGGAATTTTTCCTAGCCTCACACATTCGACCTTCAATTGACCCTTGACGATGACCTTCAAATTAAATTAAAATACACATTCGGACGTAGTATGTTCCATTATTTCGACTGGTGGTGTCAAAAGAGGGTCTATTCAAAAAACAAAGTTGACCTTGAAATAACATTGGAGGTGAGTCTCAAGGTGAAGTTCAAGGTCAATCTTGAATTCTTTGATCAGAGCCTGGTGCATTTTGATAGAAGCTGCTAGATTGGATCAATTGGATCTTGTTAGCTGTTATTTGAGAAAATTTAATTCGAGAAATTCCAAATTTAGAGTTTATGAACGATGTTGGCTAGACGCAAGCATGCAATAAATGGTCTGTGATGATTATCAAAAACTAGTGTTTGTCGAAAAGCGAATCGAAACTGATATTTTGAATTTTTTTCCAAAATTTTTCAGGCAATATAAGACCTTAGAAGAATCACCAAGAAAGCAACAGCAGGCGATTCAAAGCAAATACGCCAGTTCAAAGTATCACTTTGTAGCGCAATACCAACCCAGAAAGCTAGAATTGGAAGATTTCGAGATAGAAGATTAATAGAGAGTATGGTGAGCGTCCGCTGTTTATCAAACTTAACCATTTCCGATTGCATTTCCCTAAAATTGAACAGTCCAACTGAATATTTCTTAAAACTACGTATCGTGGAAAAAAGTGTTAAACATTACTTCGGGGTTTCTAAACGGCAAAATGATTGCGACCTTGACCACGACCATCAAGGTCATTTCAAAATCGAGTGAATATTTTCAAATGGAACCCCCTTTTTTAAAATCTGAATTGAAAAGAGAATTATCACCTTGGCCATGACCTTCAAGGTCATTTCAAGGTCACAATCAAGATATCGAAGACAATTTGTTCCAGCAAAAATATTCGACAGCACAGCCGTGATGGTCGTAGGGCTCAGCCCAAGGTGACCTGGACCATGACCTTGAATATTAATGTCAAGGTCAAACCAAAAAGCCACGACCTTCGACTCTCAGGTCACATTCGGAGAGTCCACTGTAAAAATGAGGTTTCCTTTGGAAATTACGACTTGACCTTGAAGATCATGGTAAAGGTAATGACCAAGATCACGGTCAATGTCAAGGTCGTATCACTTTTCGGTGATCTCCACAAACCTCACAGCTGTGGTGTCAGATACTTTTGCTAAAATGGCCTTGCTCAAGGTCGTGGGAAAGGTCACATGCGGACGTAGGTTTCCGCTTTTCAATTCCGATGTGGGAGATGGTGCCATATGGAAATATTTACTTGACCTTGAAAACCATGTTCAAGGCTATGGCCAAGGTGACAATCCCCTTTCACATCGAACTGAAAAGGGGATTAACACATTGGCCATAGCCTTGAGCATGGCCTTCAAGGTCAAACCAAGGCATCGAAGATAATTTGTTGTATCAAAAATCTTCGACAGCACAGCCATGATGGTTGTAGGGCTCAGCACAAGGTGACCTGGACCATAACCTTGACTATTAGTGTCAAGGTCAAACCAAAACACCACGACCTTCGACTCTCAGATCACACTCGGACGTGAAATTGCCTGATTTTTACGATTTAAAGTGTAAAAATGAGGTTTCCTTTGGAAATTACGACTTGACCTTGAAGGTCATTTTAAACCAAGATCACGGTCAATGTCAAGGTCGTATCACTTTTGGGTGATCTCCACAAACTTCACAGCTGTGCTGTCAGATACTTTTGCTAAAATGGTCTTGCTCAAGGTCGTGGGAAAGGTCACATGCGGACGTAGGTTTCGGCTTTTCAACTCCGATGTAGGAGATGGTTCTATATGAAAATATTTACTTGACCTTGAAAACCACGTTAATAATCCCCTTTTAACATCGAATTGAAAAGGGGATTATCACATTGGCAATAGCCTTGAGCATGGCCTTCAAGGTCAAACCAAAACATCGGAGATAATTTGTTGTATCAAAAATATTCGTTAGCCCAGCCATGATGGTTGTAGGGCTCAGCCCAAGGTGACCTGGACCATGGCCTTGACTATTAACGTCAAGGTCAAACCAAATTTTAAAAAGAAAACTTCAGCGGCAAATTTTGCGTCCGAATCTGACCGTGATCTCAAATAGCATCTAAAATGCCACGACCTTGACTCTCAGGTCACATTCGTACGCGAAATTGCTTGACTTTTCCATTTCCAGTGTAAAAATGAGGTTTCATTTGGAAATTACGTCAAGGTAATGACCAAGATTACGGTCAATGTCAAGGTCATGATCACTTTTGCTAAAGCAAATTGTTTTCGATGTATCGATTTGAGATCAAAGTGGAAAACGCCCAATTCCGATGAAAATATTTACTTGACCTTGAAGATCATGTTCAAGGCCATAATGCCCTTTTCACATCGAATTGAAAAGGGGTCTATCACCTTGGCCATGGCGTTGAGCAAGGTCAGACCGAGACATCGAAGACAATTTGTTGTGTAAAAATATCCAACCCATGTTTATAAGAACTTTTTTTACGTATTCTTTTTTCTTAAAGGAATGACCCTCTAAGATATTCCCGTCTATTTTTCGAACACCCAGTCATAATTTCAAAAACAATTATTTTTTACAGATGACAGCATCAGAAGGATTTTATTCGTGCAACGATATTCGTACTATTCCTTATACCGACGATTTTATAAGACTAAGATTTTACCTTTTTTACAATGTTCTTTTTTAATCTATTGATTTAATATTGTGTCGCTTAAAATTTATTTAATGTGTCAATTTCAGTTAGTAGGTGGTTCCTCTTATTTCCACTATTTTATAATCTCTGATCAATACTTTTGCCAGCTATTGAAGGCGATGAATCTTTCACATTATAATAAAAAATGATGAATCGTTTTTTTTTTTGAAACTATTATACGGATTTGTTATTTTTGCGAAGTGATAATCGCTTTTCACACCTACTGACTGAATAAGCTATGCTTGTGATAAAACGTACTTGTTTTTAGTATTGAATACAGTTATGATTGCAAGAAGTACGTACTGTGTATGATGAAATAAATTTGTATATGAAAATTTAAGAGTTTATTTTTTGTTACTCAAAATGCAAAAAAAGTTAAATCGTCAGGAAATGTTACCGTCGAGAAAATTTTAACTCGATTTTATCAAGTTGATGTCCAGGATCCAGGATCTATTTGCGGATTTTTCAAAATTTTATTTGCGTAAAAATTGTTTAAACAAAATGTTAATTTTTGCGAAAATGTGAGAGTTTGTTTTTTGCTAGTCAAAATGCAAAAAAGAAGTCAAGACATCTTACCATCTAGAAAATTTTATTATGAAGTAAGTATCAAGTTGAAGTCGACATCATCCAGAATCTATTTGCGGATTTTGCAAAATTTTATTTGCGTAAATTGATGATCAAATTTCAAAAAAATTCCGTTCCAACGAATGTTAACTTTTGCGAAAATTTGAGAGTTTGTTTTTTGCTAGTCAAAATGCAAAAAGAAGTCTGGACATCTTACCACCCAGAAAATTTTAATATGAAGTAAGTATCAAGTTGAAGTCGACATAATCCAGGATCTATTTGCGGATTTTGCAAAATTTTATTTGCGTAAAAATTGTTTAAACAAAAAAAAGTATGTTAATTTTTGCGAAAATGTGAGTTTGTTTTTTGCTAGTCAAAATGCAAAAAAGAAGTCAGGACACCTTACCATCCAGAAAATTTTATTATGAAGTAAGTATCAAGTTGAAGTCGACATCATCCAGAATCTATTTGCGGATTTTGCAAAATTTTATTTGCGTAAATTGATGATCAAATTCCAAAAATTTTGTTCCGTTCCAAAGCATGTTAATTTTTGCGAAAATTTGAGAGCTTATTTTTTGCTAGTCAAAATGCAAAAAAGAAGTCAGGACATCTTACCATCCAGAAAATTTTAATATGAAGTAAGTATCAAGTTGAAGTCGACATAATCCAGGATCTATTTGCGGATTTTGCAACATTTTACTTGCGTAAAAATTGTTTAAACAAAAAAAAGTATGTTAATTTTTGCGAAAATGTGAGAGTTTGTTTTTTGCTAGTCAAAAGGCAAAAAAGCAGTCGGGACACCTTAACCATCCAGAAAATTTTATTATGAAGTAAGTATCAAGTTGAAGTCGACATCATCCAGAATCTATTTGCGGATTTTGCAAAATTTTATTTGCGTAAATTGATGATCAAATTTCAAAAAAAAAATCCGTTCCAAAGAATGTTAACTTTTGCGAAAATTTGAGAGTTTGTTTTTTGCTAGTCAAAATGCAAAAAAGAAGTCTGGACATCTTACCATCCAGAAAATTTTAATATGAAGTAAGTATCAAGTTGAAGTCGACATCATCCAGAATCTATTTGCGGATTTTGCAAAATTTTATTTGCGTAAATTGATGATCAAATTTCAAAAAAAATTCCGTTCCAACGAATGTTAACTTTTGCGAAAATTTGAGAGTTTGTTTTTTGCTAGTCAAAATGCAAAAAGAAGTCTGGACATCTTACCACCCAGAAAATTTTAATATGAAGTAAGTATCAAGTTGAAGTCGACATAATCCAGGATCTATTTGCGGATTTTGCAAAATTTTATTTGCGTAAAAATTGTTTAAACAAAAAAAAGTATGTTAATTTTTGCGAAAATGTGAGAGTTTGTTTTTTGCTAGTCAAAATGCAAAAAAGAAGTCAGGACACCTTACCATCCAGAAAATTTTATTATGAAGTAAGTATCAAGTTGAAGTCGACATCATCCAGAATCTATTTGCGGATTTTGCAAAATTTTATTTGCGTAAATTGATGATCAAATTCCAAAAATTTTGTTCCGTTCCAAAGCATGTTAATTTTTGCGAAAATTTGAGAGCTTATTTTTTGCTAGTCAAAATGCAAAAAAGAAGTCAGGACATCTTACCATCCAGAAAATTTTAATATGAAGTAAGTATCAAGTTGAAGTCGACATAATCCAGGATCTATTTGCGGATTTTGCAACATTTTACTTGCGTAAAAATTGTTTAAACAAAAAAAAGTATGTTAATTTTTGCGAAAATGTGAGAGTTTGTTTTTTGCTAGTCAAAATGCAAAAAAGAAGTCAGGACATCTTACCATCCAGAAAATTTTATTATGAAGTAAGTATCAAGTTGAAGTCGACATCATCCAGAATCTATTTGCGGATTTTGCAAAATTTTATTTGCGTAAATTGATGATCAAATTTCAAAAAAAATTCCGTTCCAAAGAATGTTAACTTTTGCGAAAATTTGAGTTTGTTTTTTGCTAGTCAAAATGCAAAAAAGTAGTCAGGACATCTTACCATCCAGAAAATTTTAATATGAAGTAAGTATCAAGTTGAAGTCGACATAATCCAGGATCTATTTGCGGATTTTGCAACATTTTACTTGCGTAAAAATTGTTTAAACAAAAAAAAGTATGTTAATTTTTGCGAAAATGTGAGAGTTTGTTTTTTGCTAGTCAAAATGCAAAAAAGCAGTCGGGACACCTTAACCATCCAGAAAATTTTATTATGAAGTAAGTATCAAGTTGAAGTCGACATCATCCAGAATCTATTTGCGGATTTTGCAAAATTTTATTTGCGTAAATTGATGATCAAATTTCAAAAAAAAAATCCGTTCCAAAGAATGTTAACTTTTGCGAAAATTTGAGAGCTTGTTTTTTGCTAGTCAAAATGCAAAAAAGAAGTCAGGACATCTTACCATCCAGAAAATTTTAATATGAAGTAAGTATCAAGTTGAAGTCGACATAATCCAGGATCTATTTGCGGATTTTACAAAATTTTATTAGCGTAAATTGATGATCAAATTCCAAAAAAATCCGTTCCAAAGTATGTTAATTTTTGCGAAAATTGTTTTTTGCTATTCAAAATGCAAAAAAGAAGTCAGGACATTTTACCATCCAGAAAATTTTAATATGAAGTAAGTCGATTTTATCAGATTGAAGTCGACATAATCCAGGATCAATCTTCGCATCTGATCGGAAAAATATAGTATTTTGCAAAAATCTATTCAAAAAGGACACCTTGAGTAAACATTGTTTGAACAATTCTTAATATATAATTAAATTCCAAATTTTGTTTTTTTTGCGTTCCAAAGTATGTTAATTTTTGTGAAAATTTGAGTTTATTTCTTAAAAATATGAAAAAAAGTTTCTATAAACATGGGTCTGGAAATGCAGAGTTTTGAAGATACAGGGTGATACATTTGAAACAAAAAATATTAATTTGTTGCAGTGTACTTTGTCATGGAAGAGTTGCAATAACACCCTTTCCTAGATTTTTTTTATTTTCTGTGTTTCAAGGCACTTGTGATTTTTTTTAGCAAAAATTAATAAACCAGTTCTGTCCAGTGACATGAAATAAAACGGTTTTCATATTATATTTTCTCCGAAGTGAAGTACGAAAAAATGCAACAGGCAAAGAAGTTGCTTTTTTTTTTGAGATACGTAATCAAACAACAAATATATTTTTTCCCAATAATGTTCGCTAAGGTGCCCCCCCTAATAATTTTAATTCATTTATGGATAAATATGCCTCTGAATATAGCTGATATTGCCAAATTTTAACAGAGCAGAGTAAATATTTTTAAGATATTAATAAAAAAATATTTTATTTTGAAAACTGCATTTCCGTACCCATGTTTATAGAAACTTTCTTTCATAATTTTTAACAAGGAATAACCCTCTAAAGTATCTCTGTCTATTTTTCAAGCACTCTGTATATAAAGGTGAAATCAGATTATTCCGAACAGGTGCGTCAACTAGGAAGTAGTAGCTCATAAATGAAACATACGAAACAAAAAATATTTACTCACAAAACCAATTTACAATAATGCAATCCTTGCAATACATTTTCTTCTTTCCCTTGACTACTCGTCCTGTACTATGCGTACCAGCATCAGGTTAGACAATCTTCATTCTTCCACATTGTTGCCCATACCATGAGTGTGCGTCATGTTGCTTGGATATTCGCATCTTGCCGGTTGAAAACCAAGGTTCGTCTGCGTGAGTTCTACCTGAAAAAAAACATTATTCCAGAGATATCCTATAGTTAGTAGTGGATTAACGGAAGTCAGGTGATAGAGAGCCTCAAAACCTATCGAATAAACCCCTTATACAGGGTGACTTCGAAGTCGAGTCATTCATTTTAACAGTGAGTAGATCTGATCAGAAGAAATGTTTTTTCCTTTAACATTTTTCTGGTAAAATTAAAGTAACAAAGTTATAGCCCTTTAGAAGTTTATAATATAATAATATTATGTGCTCGTGTTTGGCAACAACGGATATCATCCGCCTTATCGGTTCATCGCATCGGAAACAAAAAAGCGAAAGAATTTGAAACGCTTATCACGATGTTTTTACTACAATTTTATTCAGTTGCATTCAGTCAATGTGTCAGTCGGTAACGCGTGAGTGAATAGTGGTGTTTGTTGAGTGACTCAAACGAAATAAAAAATGGCACATGTTTACGAAGATGCTGAACTTGTGGACATGATTCTTATTTACGGGGGGGAGGGAGTCTTTACAAAATGCTACCGCGGCATCACGGATTTATGCGGATCGGTTTCCCAATCGAGTGCAACCAACCCCTCGTGCCTTTGTTAATGTAGTACAAAGGGCTCGTGAATCAGGTGACTTAAGACCTCACAGGGGACGGCATGCCCGTGCTCCAAGACCGCACGATCAAATACAGGTCCGCGCTGAAATACTTGTCGGGAGGATACTTTATAAAACAAGATAACATTTTTTTTTAATTTTTTTTTTATTTTTACACACATATTTTGGTTTATCTTCCTTATCTGAAAATTAATGACTCAACTTCAAAGTCACCCTGTATGTGTGGTCGGAAATTTTATAGTTCCGGAGATATTTGCAGAAGTTTCGTAAAAAATGGGATGATGATCTTTCAATCGCAATTACAACTAAACCCTCGGGCTTAGGGCTAAGATTTTTTTTTAAAATAAGCCTAATGGTTATTTTTAGCCATGGTTATGTCACTTTTTAACAGAGCTAATTAGAAATCACCGCAAAAAATCTTAAATCATTTTTTACCGCTCTCCAAAGCTGTGGGATGGAAGAGATTTTTCACAAAAAAGTACAAATAACGTCTCCAGGATGGCGACTGTTAGCAACAACACACCGTTGGAGATACACCTGGAGCTCGTTTATACACGTCGCGAATAGTAGCACAATCTAATAGGGTGTGAGAAGGATGCCTAAGAGCATTTTCCGCGCCTTTTTTGTTGGATATTCTCGGAGAGAGAAGTCACATATGCTTAAATCGAGTAAGGCCACATCACCTTCTAACGAGACGAGACGCCCTAGCAAACTTTCTCCCAAAGCATTCGTCGTATACTGAGCTGTATGAGCTGTAGCTCCATACCACAAGAGCGCGTTAAGAATTAGGGGATAGAGTTACTTATCTCACCCAGTATACGATGAGCTCAGAAGGAGTTTGTCCTCTAGCTCAACGTATTAGTGAGCTAGAGCTCGCACTCAAACTATACAGGGATATACACCGGATCGCATTTTAGGGGGGGTCTTCTATGTAACATTTTTCCCTCAACGGTGTCATTAAAAATATACTGAAGTTCAATTTTTTTTAATATCATGCGGTCCCGTGCATGATGTTTCATTTTAGGTCACGACTAGTGAAACCGCGGCTCAATACCTCACGTTCCGTCTCTCAGAAAAATAAGTGATATCTGGAAGCCCTGCACTATAAATCTAAAGGATTGTCCGATAGGGACGCAGGAAAGTAAACGTCAATTTGACATAGACGCCATCTTTGTTTTCTGTCACCGACATGTCATTTTGTTAGTTGAAGACCGCATTAAAGTTATTCAAATGGTGTAAAAATAAAAAATACGTTTCGCGCGCTTCGTGGACATTTCGGTCGCAACAACCGCCCAAACGAAACAACCGTCGGTCGTCTGGTGCGTAAATTCGAGGCAACAGGTTCTGTGGCAAATCTGCCAGGCTCTGGCCGGCCAAGGGGCGTTCGCACACCGGAAAATATTGCTGTTGTGAAGGAGAGTGTGAGAGACGATCCGAAACAATCAACAACGCGTCGATCCCAAGAATTGGGCATTTCGAGAACCAGTTTGCTCCGCATTCTCCACGAGGATTTGAATGTACACGCCTACAAGATCCAATTGACGCAAGAGCTGCGTCGGGCCGACCATTTTTCGCGCCAGATTGGCTCCTTGAACACCAAATTGATGCCAATTTTTCATCAAAAATCATGTTCAGCGACGAAGCGCATTTCACTTTGAATGGGACGGTAAACAAGCAAAACTGCCGCATCTGGGTGAACGAAAATCCCCGTGAGTATCAAGAGCAGCCGATGCATCGTCAAAAAGTGACCGTGTGGTGTGCATTGTGGTCAAAAGGCATCATCGGACCTTACTTTTTCGAAAATGCGCCCGCGGACGCGGTTACCGTCAATTCTGAGCGATATCACGTGATGATAGAGGACTATTTTTTGCCGCAACTTGAAGGAATGGATATGGACGATGTTTATTTCCAACAAGACGGTGCAACATGACACACAACCAACGTCAATATCCATCGATTGCAGTCCTTCTTCGGTGATCGCGTGATTTCGCGCAGAGGAAATGCGCCATGGCCACCAAGATCATGCGATTTGACTCCCTTGGACTTCTTTTTACGGGGATGTTTGAAAAGCAAAGTCTACGTCAACAAACCAGCCATCCTCCGAGAACTCAAAAACAACATCATTGCCGAGATAAATGCCATAGAACCGACCATGTTGCAAAATGTCATTGAAAATTTCGACCATCGCGTGGACGTCTGTAAATCCAGTCGTGGTGGACATTTGAGCGATATTATTTTTCATACATAAATGGTATAAATGAACCTTTAAAATAAAGTACCCAACGTGATTTGAATATCGATCTTTCTTGTTTTAATATGCGTTTACCTTCCTGCGTCTGTTTTGGACAACCCCATACGTTTCATACTCTCTGGACCGCCGAACTGGAAAAATCATCCTCCGATAGATCTTGTGCTGTAAGTGTCTGGCAAGAAATGCGATAAAAACGAAAAAGGGTCATCTGTCAATCGCCTAGCGGGGGCGCAACTTCCTTCATGCGCTTGGCCCACCTAGTCACCTGTTTGATTTCCCGCCAGCAGTCGCCCGCTTTTCCAGACAGTTTTCCGGCAGTCATCGACCGGCTTCCGCGCGATACGCCGCTCCGCCTAGGGTTTCCACGATTTCCACTTGCAGGGAACCGCGATCCGGCCGGTTGTCGTAGGATTTTCCGGAGAGGCTAGCGCGATATTTGCGCCCAGCTTTGGAAGAACCCGGAGAAAAGGTAAGCATCACAACAGTATTTATTGTTCCGTTTAACGTTCCATAATTGTCATATAATTGAGATAACGTGGGTAAAGCGAAGGCATTTTGAAGATGTTTGTCGCCCTCCGAAATTTTTTCGGTTTTTTTGCGTCTACTGAAATCGAATATGCAGTCAGTTTCTTCGCATTGCCCACACTTTTTAGAGAAGGGATAATATAAAATGTTTAAATCCCAAATTTATAAAGGATCTAGTGGCGAATTTTCAAAAATTAAAAAGAAACACCAAATGCACTTTTTTGGGAAATACACACTATAGCCGATATGTAGCTGACTGGTAGTAATCTTTTATTGAAACTTATAAATTATGTAAAAAAAAAACCGCCTCTAAAAGCCGCGCAAACCTGTGCCCTGTTGGTTACATTTTACATCACTTTTTGGCAGGTTTCGGGAGAGATATTTTCAATCGTTTCCGCAATATTGTTCTTCAGCTGTTCTACACTAGTTAGCATAAGTCATATTTCTCGAAAATCTCCATGAAAAAAGTCAAGAGCCGTTAAATCCGGTGACCCTGGTGGCCAGTTGACATAACCAAATCGGGAAATTAAACGTCCCGGAAATATTTTTGGCAAAAGATTAATTGCTTTCCTAGCTCTGTGACAAGTTGCTCCCTCCTGCTGAAACCACATGGTTTGCAGGTTGAACTGTTTGATTTGAGGAGTCAGAAACACTTGCACCACATCACGGTAGCGCTCGACACTAAGAGAAATACCTGCAGCGCTTTAAAAAAAGTGTACTAAGTGACATATAAATCCGAACACCCAGTTTAAATGGTTTTATTTTAATAAAAGTTGGTGAATGTATTTATGTTACTGTAAATAACAAGTGAAAAAATGTTCAGCCTTATCAGTTGGACATTCCGGTTTTTATACTGCTTTTTTTTTAATTCACTAACGCTCTAAAAATGAACCAACCAACAAGAAACATAACTATACAGGTACATTATAATGACAAAGGGGAATTATTATATAAAACAATTAAATTCAAAACAACGTGTAACTATGAGAAAAAAAATAAAGATAGATAAACTCCCCTTACAGCGTATCGTTTATCTACACCCTCTCCCCCGCGTAGTACGCCCGCCAGAACGAGCCCCATGCGCATGCGCACGCGCGCGCGCTACTAAGGGAGATGGTGACAAAAAGGCGTTGAAAAACGACGTTTTTTTTTGTACTTTGGTCTAGAGTGACTGGTCTAGAATGACTTTTGGTCTAGAGAGACTGGTCTAGAACGTACTTTGGTCCAGAACGGGTAGTGGTCGGGAACGCCTATAAGTTTTACGGTACAATTTCACATGCTATTTTAGGTGGTCGGGAACGCCTATAGCTGTACTACTCATCACACTGTTGGAGTTATGGTTTGGGGTGCTATAGCTTATGGTTCCAGGTCACCTTTAATCTTCATCAGAGGTAACATGAACGCGCAGCGTTATATCCACGAAGTTCTAGAACCCCATCTTTTACCCTATCTTGACACCCTGGCAGATCCAACTTTCCAACAAGATAATGCCCGACCACATGTTGCAAGAGTCACAATAGACTTCTTTCAACATAATAATGTCACATTGTTACCATGGCCACCAAGATCTCCCGACTTATCCCCAATTGAGCACGTGTGGGATATGATGGGTAGGAGATTGCTCAATTTGCAACGTCCTCCTCAGACTCTAGAAGCACTTCGAGAGGAGCTGGTGGTTGCCTGGAATGAGATACCACAGGAGGACATTGACCACCTGATCAGAAGCATGTCTAGGCGCGTTGGAGAATGCGTAGCACATCAGGGTGCATCCACACATTATTAAAGGCCAAAGGGCTTTAAAGCAGTGCAATCATTTTGAAATTTTTATCATTTACTTATTATGCTTCATTAAGTACTTATACGAAGTTTTATTAAAATAAAACCATTTAAACTGGGTGTTCGGATTTATATGTCACTTAGTATAAATGGGGTTCAATGGGTATCTCCTTTATTTGAAGCACTAGGGGGTTGAGACTTCGTAGATGAGGGTCATTCCCAGATACACCACCATGCAGTGTTGCCAGATTGTACATACTTTCCGTAGACTAAGATAAAGCTTAGACTTGGCAACGCTGTACCCCATTATGCTATAGAAAGATAAATATCGTACAGGTACGTTTTTACACCTGCTTAAGGCACGTTGTTGGTACTCTACGGACTTCGTTACGTGATACGATAATTTAAAGGTCTGCGTAAGGGTTAAATATGTAGGACTTATCGAAATAACGTATTTTTTTGGTGCAGAGCAGTCTTATAAATACAACTTTGGACATTAGAATAAGATCAGTATGTAAATCAGTACATTAATCTAACGTTATCAAAAGATACATCGTCTATGTTCAAAACCTTAAAAATGGACCATGTAAGTGGTCGCAGGGCCGTGTATTGAAAGACGTTGAGTAATTACTGTGAAATTAATGTTCGTCGAGTCAAATCTGCATATGTACAAATGGGTAAACTTCCTTTTGAATTCAAGAATTTCGACTCCCAGTAATATTAAGAACGGAGAAAAACTTAGGACCTCTAGACCTTGCAACTTTTTTAGTGAAAAGTATCCACTTTACGATATACAGGGTGGCGCATCGAGAACGAAACAGACGCATTTTCTGGTAGCTCATTTTTTTTTGAAAAACGCTCAGACCCGTCGTTTTTGTTTTCGAGGAGGACACAAGTTTGGCAAAAAATCACGTTAACACGTGCAGTCCCCTGGGCGGGGGTGACACCAACCCTAAAATCTTAAATGGAAAGGGGGGTCGAGTGATACCTTATTTTAAAGGTCTTTCAATTCCCTTCAGTTCAGTATTTTTGAAGATTTATTGATTTAAAGCTTAAAGTAGACTTTAATAGGTACACCAGATTAGTATGTACTACTTTCAGAAGAAATTTGTCTAAAAGAATTTACTAAATAAGTAAATGCTTTTCTTCGCTACGCCCATGGTTTGTTTATCATTTTGTTGTTGAAAATAGCAATTGGAGCGTTTTTTTTGTGGCAAAAAAGTTCTTTCTTGAAGAAAGATAAGGAAATATCTCGTACTTACTTTAAATAGGAATTCAGTACATAGTTTGCGATTGATTTGACCAAATTTTGTTGCTAAAAGAACTTGTAACGCTTTATTACATAAATTAACCACGGTATATTCCACACCAGAAAGAGTTGAAATTATCGAAATATTTTTCGGAAATAATCAGTGCGCTAATAGAACAGCAGAAATATTTAATGAGCGACATGAGACCAAAAACGTGCATCGAAAATATGTTCTAGAACTTGTATTTACCACCTTATTCGAATTCCCAAAGATGAACCTACGGTCGACAATTTTTTTGTTAACAAAAAAATTGATGAGGCTGTCTGTATCTGAATACATTGCCAGTCCGTCTACTTGTCCAAACAAAAGCATCGAGTATCTGTATATTTTGCGTTTTAGATGTATGTCTCTTATTTGAACAATATATTTCATCTGATTGTATTTCTAGTTCGTTCAACGGGAGAGTGTTGGTCGACACCACAGGATGAAGTCGTACAGCGCTTGGTTCGTCTTGATCGGGTTGACGGTGTTACTCCAGAAAAGCTGCTTCGGAGGTGAGCGATGCATGCTGAAAAATCATTTCATTGTGTTAAACAAATTTTCCGATTGATTACCAGCAAGATTCGGTATTAAAAAAATATGTTTCGATATAATGTTGTGTATATTTTGGTCGTCTTCATTTTTTATAAATTTCGAGCCTAAGCTGTGGCGGTATCTCTATCTCTAGGTGTCCGATGTTTCTTCTTTGTGGGTGATAGTTTGACAAGAAATGTAAGGCCACGTTCTGTCGATAAACGAAAGAAAAAAATCCCTAACGCCAAAACGTGACGTAACCCTTCTGTTGCCCTTCTACATGCAGCTTAGCCCTGACAAACACTAATAATCCCGTACAGGCTCAAGTCGCTAACGTGAAGGGTCGCTAAACTTGACGCGAGGATATTCAACTTACAAGTGCTTGCTCGAGAATGGACATAATAAACTTACTAAGGACGGTGGCTATAAATGGAAGAACAGCTTTAGCAGCCGTTGTGTGCATGATGACAATAGACAATGGCATAACTAATGGTGTCCCGCTGGCTGAAGTCTGTTGTGACACTTGTTCTATCGCGTGCATTTGTACGCGATCAGCGGCGTACTTCGTTGGCGGCCGGTAACTCCAACTTTGGAAAAGACTTTCTGAAGATATATCGAAACATATTGTTTGTGTGCGGCAAAGGTTTGATAAAAATTGAAATAAAATATATAAGCCTACTGTCAAAATCATCTGAGTCAATCGACTAATACTGTTAGGAAGATGGCTACCGTTTTAAGTCTCATGTAAGAATGCTGAAAGACTTTTGTGCAACGTTAGATTTCCATCAAATACGTTCCCAAGTTGCGTATTGCCTCTTTATGAGCTAGTACTTCATTTCCATCTTAATATCAAAGTTACTGTTTTTAATTCTCGATCCAAAAACTATTCAAATCAGCAGCTAAAATTCTGTTTATCATCAGCATGTCAGAACTTGATGGAGTTAACTAGATCCGTGACGTACGACGTGAACAAAATCGCACCCAAACTGGATCCCTGAGGTACACTGTTATCAGTTCCTTTTTATCAGAAAGACAGTAACTACACTACACGCGCACAGTTGTTGCAAAAATAACGGGCGTGTTCTGAGCACCGCCAATAGGCGCTTCTTGTTGGGATCGGTGGTGGAGGAGGAGGAGGAGGAGGAGGAGGAGGAGCCGACAAACACGAAGGTATTGCCAGATTTCGCCTAGAATCACGCGCGACAAAAACGACAACCCTCGTAGATAGCTCAAATAATGTAACTTTGTTAGAAGCATTCTACGATCCAAACAGTCAAAAGTGAAAGTTAAGTTTAGAACTTTACATGAGGAAGCATACTATCATCACGAAAGATGACTATTAGGTTATACGATAAATTTTACTGAAGTAATCGATGGACGTACGTCGATGATAAAATAACGATGTCAGGAACATTATTATAATGAATTTATATTATGATTTTGCGAAGTTGATTATTTTTATTATCATTTTATTTCATGGTTTCAAGAGATACCTTGATAATAATTTTAGTGGGGAGTTTTTGTTTTGATAAAAACAGTTATAAGTACAATACACCTCAAGACAGGAACACGAATAATCAAAGTATTATTCGAAAACAACCTAACTATTCATCTTTCAAATATGATCGATCATCAATACAGTTTGTTTGGAAAATAAAATTCTGTTTGTCTCTGTCTAACACATCTGAAACTTCATTAAAAATATTCACAAATCGCGGACGTCTGTCTTTGCTAATCGTAATCGTCATCGTTCACGATTTCGACTTATATTTTCAAGCGTACCGTTTAGAACGCCCAAAGTCACCGGGTCGTCGATTTCATTTCGTTCTGAAGTACGCTCTGCGCTCTGTTCGGCGTCGGCGGTTTCACCAACCGATTCATCTTCCACGTCACCGAAGTAATGAAGTTAAAACAACAATTATCATTCCGCAGGGAGCACCGCCAGTGTTGCGAAATACGTCTTCGTACGCTGTGGTCCGGTTTGTTTGTTTTGCTCAGGTTGAGCTAAATTGAATTTTTTCCTTTCTATTTACTCGCGGAGGAATTGATACCGGAAAAAGCAACGTTGGTTTGCTTAACCGCATATGCAGCGAAAATCCGGAAGAGCGACACGGCCTTAGGTGTCTAGGAGTCCAGGCACATTGGTGCGCCTGGTAACCTGCGCGAAATTATCTTCCCCGGATGAGTGGCGTTAAACGTTAAACATAAATTAGAATCATTTCCACTCTTTCGGCTAGTTGTAAACCGTTTTAAAATTAATTAATTTTCACTATCCCAAGATTGTCAATAAGGTAACCGACAGCAAATTAAATTCTTTCTTTCTCTTAGCAACAAATAACTAAACAGGTATAACAATAAATACAGTTCGCCCAGTATATCTGAGTTGATGAAAAGTATATATACGAGGAAGAGGACTAGGCCTAGAACTGACCCTTGGGGGATACCATTCTGCACCCTTTTTTCGCTGATGATACCCCAGCAGCCTTGACTATTGGCGATCGGTCTTGGAGGAACGATTTCAGAAAATATATGCAGTCTTCACTGATACTTCCAATTTCCTAAGTTTGTGGAAACCTTTTGATGTTCCCATCGTGGTGTTCCTATTTTTCCTGAAACCATACTGACAGCCGCTGAAAATTTTTTATATTTAGGTGAAACTTTAAAACAAACTACAACCAGTGAACTTCGTAAGCAAGCCAGACAAAACCTTTCCTTTCATCGCCAATGAACGAGCATAATAAAAAACACCCCTCTTTGTGCTATCTAGCGCGAGTACTCGACACTCTTCCAGAGTGGCTACTTCTTGTCTTGTCGGGACAGGATGAGGCCAGGCCATTTTCCGGGGCGCTGGAGCATATACATGTATAATATGAAGCGACGTCCACAGGGATTCCGGACGTACGCATGGTCCATGTGGAAGCGATAGCTATCGAGGTCACCCGTTTTAAACAAACTGTATTTCCGGAATACAACGTTACTTATGATGGTGATAATATACACTAAATACTCCTGATATGATAGCTAGAATTGACGCAAAGGCCTGCAAAACAGTGTTGAACATGCCAAAAAGTTGGCTATGTTTTACAAGAAACATTTCATCAATTTTCCAAAAAGATCCTCATAAATCCAGTTTTTGATCGGCGTACCATGTGATCTCAACCAAATTTTATAAAATCAAATTTTAGCAACAATCTCGCTGACGCACTCCTGATGATGACGGCATTGAGTGTCGAAAGCTTGAGTTGTAAGTTTGCATAATTTGCCGATTCCCCCAAAGACGAGTCTTCCACTTAGCCATATACATATATGAGTGATAGTTATTGTCGAAAAATAACCTGTTAACTGGAAGATTCCTTCTCTGGGGAAATCGACAAACTATGCAAAGTGTACTCTTTTAACTTACAACGCAAGCTTTCGACAGTCCATGCTGTCATCATAAGGAGCTAAAAACAAATTTAAAAAATTCATTGGAAATTTGTTATTTATTGCATCCGTCAGATTTGTGCTAAAACTATATATATATATATATATATATATATATATATATATATATAGTATTCATAGTTAATTGCCTTAACTGTTAGGAAAAATATCCTTGAATTTCTTTGGGTAGAAGACAAAGTATTGCAAAAGTACACTCTTATAGCTTAAACTCGAGCTTTCGAAGATGTATGACTTCATCGTCTGTAGCTGGAAACAATTATTGACAATAGCAACAAATAACAATTAGGAGGAAAAATAGTTACTAAGTCGGCGAGATTGTTGCTGAAATTGTTTTTAAGCAACAGTGAAGGGAACACATAGTCGACGAATAAAAAACTGGACTGATGAGGTTCGATTAGGACGGAATTATTTTATTATTAAATGGCAAATCATTTTGAAAGGTTTTTTCAATTAAACGTTGACTTATTAAGTAACTATTTTTCCTCCTAATTGTTATTTGTTGCTATTGTCAAAAATTGTTTCCAGCTCCAGACGATGAAGACATAGATCTTCGAAAGCTCGAGTTTAAGTTATAAGAGTGTACTTTTGCAATACTTTGCCTTCAACCCAAGCAAATTCAAGGATATATATATATATATATATATATATATATATATATATATATATATATATATATATATATATAACTTGAGACGTGGTCATTGTCGTCTAGACCAGTTAGGTGAAAAATTAAAGCTTCCGCCTTTTGTTGGGTACTTCGACAAAATTTAAGCAAAGAGGACTCTTTATACTTGCTGCATGATGATGATGGCAAAGTCCATTAAAAGCTAGAGAGAATTAAAAAAAGTATGCAGCTCCTGATGATGATGGCAAAGTCCATTGAAAGCTAGAGAGAATTAAAAAAAGTATGCAGCTCCTGATGATGATGGCAAAGTCCATTGAAAGCTAGAGATAATTAAAAAAAGTATGCAGCTCCTGATGATGATGGCAAAGTCCATTGAAAGCTAGAGAGAATTAAAAAAAGTATGCAGCTCCTGATGATGATGGCAAAGTCCATTGAAAGCTAGAGAGAATTAAAAAAAGTATGCAGCTCCTGATGATGATGATGGCAAAGTCCATTGAAAGCTAGAGAGAATTAAAAAAAGTATGCAGCTCCTGATGATGATGGCAAAGTCCATTGAAAGCTAGAGTTAATTAAAAAAAGTATGCAGCTCCTGATGATGATGGCAAAGTCCATTGAAAACTAGAGAGAATTAAAAAAGTATGCAGCTCCTGATGATGATGGCAAAGTCCATTGAAAGCTAGAGAGAATTAAAAAAGGTATGCAGCTCCTGATGATGATGGCAAAGTCCATTGAAAGCTAGAGAGAATTAAAAAAAGTATAAAGAGTCCTCTTTGCTTAAATTTTGGCGAAGTACCCAACAAAAGGCGGAAGCTTTAATTTTTCACCTATATATATATATATATTATAACGAAGGTTTGAAACAAGTGAAAGAAACAGTTAAGGTGCGATGCATCAACTTCACAAATATCCCATCTATAAAGACTCTTCGAACATTCCCATTTTGTACCGCGGCTGAAATCCACGACAGT